ATAAACTGATGAAACAAATATAATATCAAATATTAAAAACATGCTCTTTTTCCCAAAAACTAAAATTCACGAGAAAGACTGATAATATGAGATTTGGACAATTAGAAACATCTAATCGGGAGCATATTCTGATATGTTGATCGAATGAATGTTATTTTTAGGACCTGTTCCGGTTTGAACGGTGTTTAATTTAATTTTAATAAAACAAAAGATCGCATGTAATTCTATTTCGACTCAGCGGTAAAAAAAAGAAAATATAAACGTATCACTTCTAAGTCGTTTTTTCTACTGGCTTTTTCTTGGCTTCGTGCCAGGGTTGCCAACTTTTCAAATTCCATTTACCGTACCGCGCAATTCAAATTACCGTACATGGCCTGCCACTACCGTACACTTTTATTTTGTAAAAAAAACTATATTGTGTAACTCTTCGTGTCGTGTTTCTAAAAAAAAAAGTCCTCATCATATTATTTTAATCATCGTCTGGTCCTTTTACCTAGCTTCTAAAAAAAGGCCTTATATTAGCTTATATTTTTGTATTTTTGTACAGACTAGGTCCTTTTGAAGTTTTTAAGAACATCTGCTGCATTTTTACATTGGACAATGTCATTCTAATCTTTATTAGGTAATTTAATGGAGTCGGTCCTTCTTGCACAACTCAGTCTTTGCTAATTCTGTTGAAAATACCGTACGTATACCGTACTTTTTATGTAAATACCGTACTTTTATGTACGGTAATGACTTTGGACCATATATCGTACATTAATTGAAATTACCGTACAAGTACGGTAATTACCGTACGATTGGCAACCCTGCTTCGTGCTTGCAACAAATCCAAGTCAACACTTTTCCGCACGTCTTGCTCTCCGCGAAGGATGATGTCTCAGCAAAAGACGAGAGCTGCGGTACGGCTTCATAAAATAGGATACTATGACTTAATAATATTGTAATTTCTGGTTAGAAATTTATTAATATTATTGCAGTACTATAACAGACCGGACTTACAAGTGTTACCTTCCAATATTTATTACATAAATATTTCCTAGACACTCCCTGTAGTATTTTTGGATGCGGTGCGTCTTTCGCTGACACAAGATATTCTGCTAATATTTCGATGAGTGGACAGACGCAGTTTTAACAATCAAGAAAGGGAAATATAGACCGGATTAAGACATTCATTATTAGCTGAGCTGTTCAACCATTATTGATTAATAAAGTTTATTTTTGTAAAGTGAATTTCTATTACCCCTTAGCTAATACAAGTCCATTAAACAAATTAAAATAAAAAGTGGTATCCTGTAGCTCCGAAATGAAGTAGAATCAGACGTATGTTGATATATAAAAAAAGTGTTATATATGAGAATTCGAAATTAAGAAACAGGTGATAACGCTTTGAATTGTGAATCAAAGAAGTTGTGTACAGGTGTCCCAGAATACCTATGTGGGCAATCTCCCAGACATAAAAATAACATGACAAATTCCTATAATTTTGTTTTCTACGACCCCCCTTTTCGGATATGTGGTCCCATAATGGATACCCCTGAAAAAAAAAAATGTTTTTGTAATAATTTTCCTGTAATTTACATTAAATCTATTATTCGGTAAACGCAAGTAATAAATAAAACGCCGTATTGTTTATCTATCTCTCTCAAATGACGATCCACTCTTTCAACGATTTTCCTATCACGAATTTTTCAATTTGGAAATCGTTCTTCATAACGCAATCTCCTCTAAAGCATTACAAGATGCAAGCCCATACATTAAACGCATGTCAGCACAGCATATTCATTAAACGTATTACTACTTTATTATATAAGATAAAGAAGAAAAAATATCGCAAACTTCAACACACTGTCATAAATTATTTTTATTTAAATAGAATTTTTTTTTATCGATATTGATCAGGAGTTCCTTTTTTTAATTTAAGGTTTAAGCCGTCCCAAAATGTTATTGTTGTGTTTTTATCATACAGGGTCTAAACAATATTAGTATTATTGTGTTAAAGCAACTCCGTTCCTGGCAAACTAAATAACCCAAATGTGTTTAAAATGGTCCATTTAACGGAGACTTACACAGTATCCATTGTATTTAAAACAATTTAATTATACCAAGGACTTTCATAGGTGTCCATTATGAGACCATGTCTTCGAAAACGGGGATCGTAGGAAAAAAAATATAGAAACTTGTATTTTTTTATATGATCTATTTGAATCCGGGATGTTGCCCACATATTCTGATCGACTTTTCTGTTATTTGTAAAAAATTGTTGAAGTTGAACATCCTTATCTTTCATTCCTCAAAATAAAGTAGGGTTATGTGAGCCCCTGGACGAGCCGCTACTGTGCCAGAACCGAGCCCATCGAAAGAGAGCACCGGAGGTCCACAGGGAGAGGAACTTGGGTCAGTCGCGATGTGGCCCTTGTGCTATATACAGGCTGGGCATGCAACCGCGGCCACTGCTATGCCTTTGCACGTTCACACCCTACCGCCCGAATATTTAGTGGCGGGCCGGTCGCGGATCGCGCCGCCACCAGCTCAGGTGCGGATGTTTCGAACGTTGCCGCCTTCTTATCTGGTGGGGACGGGTCGTCAAGTGTTGAACCTGGGGTATAATGCTAATAGTTGTGGTGATAATGGAAGACGGGGGCAAATACGGGAAATTCCTGTAAGTCGTTTTTTGGTTTTCGAAGGAATTTGTCGTAATATTCGTTTAATTGTTTTATAAAAACTGGTTATAATTTTTTGAATGTTGTTTGATAATCTCTTATATAACTTTTTTACCTTAGAATTTTACAATGGTTACAATTTGATCCGTTTTTTAAACTATTTAATATAAACATGACCAGTGTTTGACGTCAAAAGTCTGTCCAAGTGAAATAAGTAGTAAAATTATTTAATGAATAACTTATATGTGGGGAGTTAAGAAACAAACTGTTTTTTAGTTATGAAAAATGATTGTTTCTCATTCAAAATAATTTGAAGTTTTTATTTTTATACATTCCAAAGACTACCTAAGTAATAGATCGGTTTATAGTTCCGAAAATTATTTTTGAAAAATTTTAAAAATTTGAATAGGGATTCGAACCCTCCACAATTGCGTTTTACGCACGCTGCCTTATCAACTCGGCTATCAGGACATTATATTAGATGTCAGGAGTCCGAATTGTTACTCAGAATAATCTGAATTTTTCAATCAACAACTATTACAGAATCCGTATAAAATAATATTAAGAAATATTTATTGCCGAAGAGATTAATCCATTTATAGGTCAAAATACATGAAAGAAATGTTAAATTAATAAAATAATTTTATCAACACCAACATATGACTTTCCTGTAAAGTTATCTAAGCAAAAAGTATTCCGAATATAAATAAAGGTTTAGTGACCAAAATTAAGAAAACGGTATGTAACCAATTTAGGACCCCTTTTTTTTATTATTTATCAACGATATTACAGATTTAATTTCTTGTTCAAAACTTCAAAACTCCTGTTTGCAGATGATTTAAAGCTCTTTTTCTAATTGTTGTTATAGGTGACTGTCTATTTCTTTAAGAGTAGTTAGATCAGATGTTCATTTTATGTATGCGCAATAATTTGTTCCTTAACATTAAAAAAATGTGATATATCCAACAGATGACTTTCCTCTGTAGTTATCAAATATATTGAGTACGGCACATATAAGCAAGAAGTGTTTAGAATATGAATAAAATATCAATGACTGAAAAATTAATGTTTTGCCATTTTCCTCAAATATCTCGAGTATTAATGGTCAATTGTTGGTAATAAAGCTCAATTTGTATAATTTTATAGTATTTACAAAGTTCTTTGTATAGACCCCTTTTTTGAATTATAATAATGTATTGAATCATTCATATTAAAAAGTATACCTGGATTTTCGTGCTAAATATTGGTTTTTGTCATTTTGATAAAGTAAGGTTATTCCGCGGAACCGCGCTTTTCAAAAGACCTAAAAAACGTATTTACAGGTCTTGCTATGTAATGATTTATTATTTTTGTGAATTATACTAATATATGGAGTCATTCATACTAAAAATTTTATCTAAATTTTCGTGCTAAATATTGATTTTTGTCATTTTGATAAAGTAAGGTTTATCCGCGAAATCGCGCGATTTTAAAGACCTAAAAAACATATTTGGAGGTCTTGCTACGCAATGATTTATTGTGTTTTTGAATTATACTAATCTATTGAATCATTCGTATTAAAAATTATATCTAGAATTTCGTGCTAAATATTGGTTTTTGATATTTTGGTAGAATAATGTTTTTCCGCGAAACCACGCATTTTTAAAGATCTAAAAAATGTAATTAGAGGTCTGCTATTTAATGATTTTTTATTTATTTTATAGCTAGTGGTGTACTAAATTATTGGTATGAAAATTGTATTTATAATCTCTTGCTAAATGTGTTTTTTTTGACTCTTAATTCTTATAGTCGTTTGACGACAAAACACCTGACTTTAAAAAGACCAAAAAAATATATTTTAAATCATTGTTCGGCCATAATTTTTTGTTTATTTAATTAACAAAAACTTAATGAATATTTGGTATAAAAATTATATTTATAATCGCATTGTAAATGTGTTTGTTTCTTTCCCGTCTTTGTGTAAGATTATCTTATTTTAATTAATAATTCAAATTGAATTAATCCATTTTTTTCAATAAATACACTAATATTTATTTATTTCTAAACTTTCATGATACTAAAGTCCACCTAAACCAAAGATTTTGACGAATAACAACATCAAAACATTTGGGGACCGCCGCGCGGTTTGTCTGCTAGCTTCAGCCTCATCTAAAATTAGCAGTAATATGCTGAAATATCGCACTTGTAGGAAATGAGTACCATTTCTTGCTTTTTGTTTATTTTTTATTGGAAAATGGACATACGCCAAAAAAAAAGTACAATTATTAGGGAATCAGATATTTTACATAAAAAAATAAAATTTAGGATAACTTTTTAATATATTTTTTTTTGTTACAGGCCAAAAAAGATATATATCAAGTAAAATCCCAAAGGCTTCTTCTAGCTCAAGATGAATACAATCATCTCAACAACGCTCTTACCAACCTCAACACGTCTAGGACAAGCTGTAAGTCAACATTATTTTCACATATTATACTCGCGATTTGAATATTCGGAAGTTAAAAAATATTTTTATTGACGTTTCGGTTTGTTGTAAACCATCATTAGGGCGGGACATTTCCAACCAAACATTGTACGTTATAACGCTTTCAAAGCTGAGTACAACAAATTATGTGTAATTTAATATAAAAAAACACACTTTTTATAAATATATAGGTGAATTTTTAAATGTGTCTGTTAATATCTTATAAATAATTAACTTAATAACACCGTCTTGATATTACCATCAAGGAACAGCTTATATTGAACTTCTCTAGACTTTTAACTATTCATTATATAATTTAATTTATTTGTAAAAATCAAATAATTTAAAACACTGACTTTTGTATGGTGTCACTTTTGTTATAAAGGTGTTCCAGGTGGTCCCATTTGATAATATGACACAACTGATTCTTTCTGAGTAACATCCAGTAAAACTGGGATAGTATATGATAACGTGTGATATATAATATATTTTTTTTAGTATGCTCTTCCACCAGTAGCGTTAGTACAAAATACGATCCTGACCTTCTCAAATCAGACGTGGCTTTGGCGAAAAATCGAGTGTCCAGGTTGAAATCCGAATTAGAACAAATCAGAAACGAGATGAATTACACACAAAGGGGCGTAGAAACGTTAACTAAGTAAGTGTTTTTTATTCTTTTTTCGAAGATTGGATTACTTTTCATTTTCTCTTAATTATAAATTTTATTAGTCCAGCAATATTAGTCTAAATTTTTTTTTTTAATTGGAGACAATGCTTTATTGTTAAATAACATGAACAACATTTATTAGTTCTGGAAAATATATTCTAAAATTAAAATATATCGATGGTTTAATTAAAATTAATCCTAAATTCGAAACTGTTATTATTTATTTTTCATTTATGGTTAAGATTTAATAGTCCATAAAAAAATAACCTAAAATTGAAAACTAATTCAAATGCAAAATTTTCAAAGGCAATACCACAACAAGAGATGAGAATTTATTGGTAACATTTTGTTGTTTTTTTGGAAATTAAGCGAAATTATTTCGGGAGGATTTTGTTTCAGTGAAATTGCATAATTTGTAAGGAAACAGCAAAATGTTTTCAAAAAAATTCTCATCTAATATAACTTTTACAAACATTTGCTTTGTTTCCGTAAGATGAAGTCGATACTGTATGCATATTTCAATAACCAAAACGATTTTTATTCATTTTTTGTCACCTTTTTGACAAACTTCACATATTTTTGTTTTTTGTGTCATCGGCTTCAACTGCTAAGGTTATTTCGCCTCGTGTTCTGTGTAGGCTTTGTTACTGTTTCCCAGCGCCACTTTAGGATAACAGCACTGTTAATTAGAACCCAACAGTGAATGGGCATATTATTATTATATTACTTTGGTAATGAATTGATTTTTTTAAATCCAATCGGGATTGAATGAAAACCCTCCAGCATGCAGTGTTTTTAAATACAATTCATTTTGATTGGCGTGTGTTGGAATAACAGATGATTTTCATTGATTGATATATTATAGTGTTAAATAATCAACAAAATTAATTTCTCACATGACTAAATTGTTCGAATTTCTAATACTATTTCACTTTCGCAAAACTAAGTCTCTTACTTTTATTCTAGCGTTGAACAAAAACTCAGCATGCACCAAGGTACTTGTTACAACATATCCGAAGCGCAAGCCATCATGGCCGAGCTGCGTAACATCCAAAAATCCCTGTCGTCCGGCGAAAAAGAAAAGGCCGATCTAATGCAGTCCCTAGCTAAGCTCAAAGATGACCTAACTAGGTTACAGCTCTCTGAAAGTTCTCCGGACATCTCTACACTCAGTTTACCTCAAGAGAAACTTAGCACAGCCTCTCAAACAGATTTGTCTTGCGAACTTGTTCCAATAGGAACGAGATTAGCTGAGATGGCAAAAATGCGATTAGAATATGACGAAGCTAGGAAGAGGGTGCAGCATATACAACAAAAACTGGCCGATCTCGAAGAAAAAGTACAACCTGGCCAAGTGGAATCCGACAAAGATCGATTACTGTTGTTCCAAGAGAAGGAACAGCTGTTACGCGAGCTGCGAAGCATAACGCCACGCATGCGGTCTAAAGAAGAAATGAGCGACATCCAATTAGAGTGCAAACGCTTAGAAGAAGACTTGAATAAAGCTCTGGAAATATCGAATAGAGCAATAGCGGATAGACTGAGGCTGCACGAGGAGAAGCAACTGTTGCTACAGCAGTTGAAAGACGGTTTAAGACTGATGACACAGTTAGAATCGCAGTTGAAGACACTGTCGGCCAGTACTCTATCTGTTAGCAGTAGTTCTAGTTTGGGATCGTTATCGACGACTAGCAGTAAAGGATCTTTGAGCTCCGGTCTGAGTTTTACTGATATCTACGGTGGACCACAGTGCATGAGTACCAACACCATGGAGAAGCCGATAGACATGGCGGACTTGCATAAGCGAGTCGAAAGGCTGTTAAAGAATAGCGACAGTACTACGCATATAGCTAGTCCGAGTAGATCGCAGCCATCTTTATCGCCTAGGAGTTCGCTGTCATCAGTTTCACCACCAGTTTCACCGATGTACGAGAATCTACCCAGCATAGTACCACCTCCAGCGTACGATCAGGTGAAACGAGACAGGAAACAGATCGACGAGCGATTAGTGGAGCTGCGATTATCCACACCGTCGATGGAGTACCAGCAAAGGAGCTCCTTCCCCAGTCTATCGCCCTTGACCGATCTACTAGAAGCGCAGGCATCGAACATGTCGCAAGGCTCCGGTTTGGGCCGACCGAGTCGGTACTCGTACGAAAGCTCCGGCGATCCTCCGTTGTCGCCGATTTCGGAAACATCGCCGGCGCTAGATAGGGACGAGATTATGCAGGGCGCGGCGCTGTCTAGGACTTCGTCGTCGGGTACGAACACTCGATCGGTGTCGGCTGCGGTGAGTGACGAATCGGTGGCTGGGGATTCGGGTGTGTTCGAGGCGTCGAATCGGAAAAGGGCGTCGTTGGGACAGGCGACCGAGGCGGACGTTGAGACCGCGCAAGTACAAATTAAGCTTAAATATATTACGACTGAAAGTATGCTCAATGTAACTATAGAGAAGGCGAGGTGCTTGGGCGCCTTGTTGATTCCCAATAATTCGGAAGTGTAAGTATTACCATTTTTTTGTCTGTTTTTATTTTTAGCAGAGCCCTCGATTATTATTTTCCACCTCATAGCAGCATACGATTTTCAATTTTTTGTTATTGCTAAAGGGATGAAATAAGATGTAAAAAAAAAATCATAATTGTTAACGCGGCACGTCAATTTATTTGTTTTTAGACAATCAAAGCTTAAGTATAACTCTGAATTCGGCTTAATAATAATCGTAGACACTTGTAAATGTTTGATTTTAGGAGGATTTAATAAAACAAATAATTTTACATAGACAGTCTTTTATGCTACGAGTTATTTTAGGTGATATTTATGTAGGTACATATTTAGAATACGAAATTTAATTTTACAGGTACGTGAAAACGGCGCTTCTGCCCGCGACATCGTCACATCCTTCGGTATTTTGTACGAAATATGTGAAAGATTTGAGAAAAGCTGCATTCGCCGATGCCTTCAATATTCCAGTACCTGCCAATAAACTGTTTACTAAAACTCTCCAAGTGAACGTGTGGACCAAAATTTTGGATCAACAGGATAAGTGCGTGGTGAGTAAATAAAATTGACCTAAATCCCTTTAATATAATCAAAATAAAATATGATTAAAAATGTATCCTAAATTAAAACAAAATTGCTTTTATTTATACTGAAAAGGACTTGAACTAGCCTTCAAACAGTCTAAAACTGTGCTTAAACATAAAACTGATTATTTCTTAAATTTAGTGAATATACGAGGAACGTTTTTCTTATTACATTCTACTTATACATTTTTCTTACTTTTGAAGTATTTTGTTTTCGCCTGTTTTTCAAGTTTCAATAGTTTCAACTCCTAACTACAACCGACACATTTTATTTCCATTGTTACAGGGTTGTGCTCAAGTGAGTCTGGCCGATTTCAACGTCCACAACGTATCGCAAAAATGGTATAACATCCTTTCCCTTCAAGAAGAAGTGTCAGCCAACATCACCCACCTGAAGCAAGAATCGGAGATTTCTATACGCGACGACAAGCAAACGGGCAAAGAAGAAAGTTCAGACGATTCCACGATAATATCGTCGCAAACATCGACGTTAACCAGAAACCAAGAAACTGTCTTCCCACCCGCGCTGAACCTCAACTTCGAAGAGCTGTACGATTGCTTCAAGAACTCCCAGCAATACGAATCCGAAGATTCCGATGAAGATTTGGAAGAGGATGACGAAGAGTGCGAAGAGGAAGGGATAACGGTGGAGTTTAGGCCTAACGAAAAACTCGACGTGGTACCGGAACACGCCGTGGACGATGAACCGGAATATTCCGATAAGCAGACGAATACCGAGTGCGCTTTCCATCCGGAACAGGCCAAGCAGATGAGGCTGCAGGCCGCCAAACCTGGAGCTGTAGTCGAAGATAGAGGTGCTATCAAGAGGTGAGTAAACCAATGACAATTTAGCTAAATAATAATAATAATTTGTAGTTCCAAAATAATGATGCACAAAACCGTCTCCAAAAACGACAATTTTCTTTTGGAGTCCATCAGAGCTTGATAAAATTTAAATGGATCCCCATTTTAATAAAAATAATCTTGGTTATCGCTGAATATTCCGACGAATTGAGAATCTCCTTTTTTTTTCTTTTTTTTTTAATGTCCTTGAAAAATAGCCTACAATATAGATAAAATTGTATTTTAAATAAGATTCTAAAACGCCAAGGTTTTATAATTTTGAAAATTAGAAACTGACGAATACTAATAGAATATAAAAAAGTTTGGAGAAAATCATAACAAAATGGCTTTGGTTTATAATCTAATTAAAGTTATATTTTAAATATTCCAACATGGTTTTCTATTCATAAAAATTAGATAGGGAAAGAAAATATTATCTTTAGCTTTACCAATTTTTATTGATTTATATAATTTTGAACAGACTAATAAAATCAGTTCAATTCTTTCATCATATCTAGTGCTTTATTTTCTTGAGCAATTCGGTAAACTTTGTTTAGTGGATAGTCTGAAGTATCAAAATATTGATGGCAATCACTTTTTTATAAAGATGTGGTCATAGAATTTCATAGGTTAGAGTGTCCTTATTTGTGTTTAAAACAGTGCAATTATTTTTAAATGTACTACTGATCATTTTTCAGTACCCGAATTCGCTCGTTCGAATAATGAATAAAAATATAAATAATTAAACTGTATACATCCGTTCAAGGTTTCCATCTCGATCTAAGATCTAATTTGTTTATGACGAACAAATTTTTTTTATTGTTCGTAAAAATTCCTCGGTTATCGTAAAAATTAAGCATGAAAATATTTTATTTCCAATTATAAAATTTCGCATGAATGGACGTACGCCGCTTTTCCGTAATTGAAAACCGATAACGAATCGTGTGCGCTATATCACTTCAGTTTAATACGACCGGTTATCAAAAATTAATATAAAACACTTAAAAAGTGAGTGATGTATTGATTAGTTCACTCATTTTATATTTTTTCTCTTTTCGTAGCTGTTGAGTAAGACTATTTTGTGTGTTTGTTCTCTTCAGCTTTCATTCTTTGTCACTGCTTTCGAGCTTTTCTTTTGTTTTAAATAACTTATTTTTTGGAGTAATTAATATCTTTGTATTAATGGTTTATTATGCCATACAGTTTGTTAAATATTAACAATAAATTATGTTTCTGTATCCAAATCTTTCACCATTATGTTTGGAATATTTCCCAGTCTGTATGTTTGTTAGGAATATTGGGGATCTAAATGATTACATCATTATTTTTGCAGGTCTCAAACCTTCTCGCCTAGCCCGCACGTATCCAAAAACCAGTACATCTGCAAATTGAACCGCAGCGACAGCGACAGCGCGATGCCGCTGTACAGGAGAGGCGGCAAACCGTTCGAAAGGCACGCCGTCGAAAGGCGGTCGCTCAGATTCCGACGTCCCGGTTCAGTGATGGCTCTGTCGACGGCGAAATCGCAAAGCCACCATTCCACCACGGCGCGGACGTCCATTGACTTGGAACTCGACCTGCAGGCCCAACACACGCGCTTAGACAAACTCTCGTCCGAGTTGTCCAGGCTGAGAGAGCTGAAAGAAAGACTGGAAGCAGCCAAGGTAAATATTATTCACCCAGCTTATACAGTGTGTTCGTAATGTATGGAATAAATTCATTTTTAGCCAAAATATCAATGTTTTAAGAACATTCTCGAATTTTTTAAATGGTACATAAACTTTTAATGAATACATTCACTGCTTTGCGAAAGCACGTAGAAAATTGATTAATATAGGATGGTCCTATTTAAAAATATTGTCGATGACGTCATTACATTAATGTAGATCACCCTGTACAATCAAATTTTTTTGCACAACACAGAAAATCCAATCATTTGTCATCTATAAATAGTTGATTAGTTTATTTACATTGTGTTAGTCTTAGAATTACCAATTTTATTATTTTTTGTTTGTTCTGTTTATATTTCTTTGGAAAATGAAAATTTAAGACCTAAAAACTACAATACTTTTTACATTGAAAAGGGACCAAGCCTTTTGATATAGAAAAAAATATATTTTTGAAAAGTCGCTCAAACAGGTGAATGTTGGTCTTGAGGGGGACATAGTTTGCCTTAAAAACCATCATAATATAATTTCACCTTTTTGCACTGTAACCGCAACCCTTGAAATTTGAATTTCTGCTTAAAAAGGTCCCTAGCGGCAAAATTTTAGGTTATTTTTGATTTCTTCCATCCTACATGTTTTTTGGGAAACAAAATCCATAAAAGGTAAAAATTTTTTACTTACAACTACTTTCACTACAATCAACTTTTCGTAAATAACCTGTCTACTCAAAAATGAAAGTACATACAATTTCCTACACATTTCAATATTAAGGTTTTTTTCTCTGAGAGTGTTTTACTGAAAAAACATGGATAATGAAGATGGGGAGGAGAGGGTGATAGTTACGACTATACATTAACAGAAAGACTCCTTTTTTATGATGTTTAACCTATTTTTGTATTTTTTTTATTATAAAAGCTTCATTCACCCTTAAAATTATTTAAAATTTTTCGTTGGAATTTCAACTTTTATGTAACTGAATTTATATATAATTTCGCATTTCATTAAATAACTTTAGAGTTTTGCAGTTGAAAAAAATGGGTTGCTATTGAGACGGCCACTTTTCAGTTAGAGCTTGAGAAATAAAAAACAAAATAAAGAAATTTGTAAAAAAATTTATGTACCCACGTTTCGAATAGGAAGGTTATTTACGAAAAGTTGTTAGTTTCCGAATTAATAGCAAAAAATTGAATTTTTTCAATATTTTGTTTGTAAAAATAGAAGAAATCAAAACTGCTTTACAACTTTCCTAGTAAAAACACAATTTGATTGAATACTTAGCTTGACACACCAAAAGAATAAAGTAACTATATAAATAAACAAAAATCGTAATTGCAGGAGCATGCAGACACAGAGCTGGCCACTTACTTGCTGGAAGACAGGCAATTTCAAAATCTCATCGCTCAGGCGGAAAGCAGCAGAGCGGCGAAGAGCGTAGAGGAGAAGAAAGTGGAAAAGATGTTAAGGAAGGTGTCGAAGGAAATTTACAAGCTGAGGAAATCGAAGGCTGGTAATGGGAAACCGGATATCATTTCTTTTCAGTAAGTCCTTAGTTCATTATTAGATATAAACTATTTTATAACTTTTTAAATACATATATCTGTTCGAATTTAAACATTAGATAAACATAAAACAAGCCAGTACTGTTCCACATCAAAATTTAACAAATTATTTAGTTGTCCAAGCGCTGGTAAATTTTTTTCAGTTTAATTGACTTCATGTCTAACCAATCGCAAAATCCAACCAATAAAAAATCAAGAAAAAGGCAGGCTTTATACAAGGTTATAAATACGACCGCTTCCTTTTTAGCAGGTATTTCTGTATCACACAGTGTTGGCACTTTTGTCAGCATATTACATTTGAGGAGCTGGCGGGAAAAACGATGAGGGTGCAAAATTTACGACAATCGACATGGCGCAATCTATAGGTATTTGAATGTACTATTATGACTAGTAAACATCTGCGGGAATATTGATAAGGGTCGACATATATAGCTAAAACTATTTTAGTCAGTTGCGGAAAAAACGATTAGCGTACCTGGCGTTTGATGGAATATAGATGAACGTGACTTTGTATTGAAACCATGGTTGTCGCTGTAGAAAAGCCAACACTGCATTAATACATCTGCCAATACTAAAATGGAATAATAATAATAATCTGTTTTTTATGATAACAACCTGCCTTATTTCAATAATTTCTAAAAATGTATCTATCATACACATTTTCTGTTACTAATTTAAATTAAAAAAATGCCTATTCTTGTTGATAATTACTGAAATATGAGACCGTAAATACTAAGTTCAAAACATATTTTTTACTATTTCCATGAGACAGTGATCTAAATTTAAAAATTAGAATTTTTTCAGTTCAAATTTTATGCATATTCATCGTTTTTTCTGACTAAAATAGGTCTATATAAGAAAAATCAAAAATCAAAACCAAAATAATTTTATTGTACCACTACTCTTGTTAATTATTTAAACATGATGCTGCACTGCTGTAAGCACTAAGTTAAGATTATATTTACACCTTCCATGAGAGAAAGTTAAAAATTCAATTTTCTTCATTTTAGTCTTTGTACATTCATCATTCTTCCTGTCAATTCCTCAAATAATAATGTCGATATTGTACTTAGAGTAGTTGATGAATCCACCGAAATATGAACGCCAAAATTTAAAGTTAGTAGCTAGCCCATAATCAGTAAAGTTTTATAGATTACGAACTTGTTGAAATACAGAAGGTGGTCATAAGCTTTTTCAATGAGATTTCGTTATTCAGTGGCTCTTTCTAGGGAATTTTTTTAGTATCTACTGGTAATTAAATCAAATCCTGGTGCTTTTTTCGTGATAATATTTTCTTTTATTTGCGTTAGAAGGATGGGAGAGTGGTCAGCAGAGTTCATAGATGCCAGGTATCAGAAATTTCTTTAACGTACATGTACGTAATTTCAAAAAATATTTCGCGTTCTGAATAGGTCAATAATTAAGTCTGGTATTTTATTTGGATCTGTAGGCAGAATAATATGTCAGTTTTTGATAAATTAAAAAAATGAAAAATCGAGAAATATAAGGTTATTTTCATTCTTCTAAACATTAACGGTTTTCGCAGCCTCTTTCGGGCATATATTTAGCCAGCTATTTCTTCTTTTTTTGGAGCTGTCAATTTCTTCCTTTTTTGAGTTGTTAATTTCTTCTCTTTTTTTGATCTGTCAATTTCTTCTTTTTTTTTGAGCTGTCAATTTCTTCTCTTTTTTTGATCTGTCAATTTATTCTTTTTTTTTTAGGCTTCAATCGTATACAATAGTGAGTCTAAAAAAATAGTGGCTTAATTGGTCTTTTTTCCAAGATAGAGGCCGCAAAGTTTTTACAATAGTATAGAAGAAGAGTTACATTTGACAGGCAGTTGTTACAGGCTTTTGTTATTTGAATTTTATTTCCAGTAATTGAGTATTTTTTTGAATATATGCTTAGTAACATAGGTAAACCTTGTCAATCTTTATTCAAAAAAATACCTATTCAGCTTGGAGCGCGACATGGCGTCTCGTCAACCCTATTTCACAATGTTATAATTACTTGAATTGTGCCCAGTAGATATTAACAACATAATATTTAACTCCCAAGAAATGTATTTTCTAGACTTGGTGTTTACATTAAAGGAAATGATCTTTCTTGTATGTATTTCTATTGACAAATTTATTAACTATGAAGATTAGAGAGGAGGAGGCGAATCGGCAATGGTCAAATTTCAAATTTCCGTCCTTCTTTTTATAAAGTTCGCGAAATTGACTGTAGTTGGCACTGTTAGCAGTCAATTTTCTATGTAAGTCAATGTAAAATAAAGTGATTTTTTAAAAAAAAATGATGAAAAGATTCAAAATAATGTGAAAAAAAAAAGTACCTGAGTACAAGTAACATGAGTGACAAAAAAAAAACATCAAAGCAGATTTACGTCGTATCAGATTGTAATGTAAAACAGGATAAAAATAAAATGTAAAATTAAAGAAAACACAAGAAATCAATTCAATTTTTTTTTAAAAGCTTTTAATGTAAGTAAAATAATGTATTCATGTCTAAATATAATATTTATTGTAAACTAGTCACAATAATATGTATCTTATAAAGTGTAGTTTAATTTATTATAAGTTTCTATAATATAAAATTGTAGAGTTATAGATGCTGACTTAAAAACAATAATTATGCATTAAATTTAACTTACTAGAAAAGAAAATTGATTTTTTATAGTTTTAATGTTAGATAAAGAGTTGCTACTGTTATTTTTTTTTTTTTTTGACATCAATTGTGTAATTGTAAATGTTTTTTTATAGGATACTAAACGTTTAGAACAGTGGCAGCATATATATCGTTCCTAGTGTCGATAAAGCACTTTCTAGAGATAATGTTGTTCTATACTTTTTAGAAGATATTATCAAATATGAGACTATTTTTACTGATGGTACTGTTAGCAAAATAAAAAGGGGAAAGCTGAAATTAAAGGTTGAGGTGTACATTCCCAAATCTCCCTTTATACTTATATTACAACAACAAAATGTGTTTTATTTTACTCTTAAAACTATATATTGGTTCAATTAAAAAAAAAAAAAAAAATTATCACAAAATTGTACTTATCAAATTTCAGCAATTAAGAAACCTTTTCGAATTTGGTCATTCATACATACCTAATTTGTATTTTATATAGATAAAATTAAATAATTTATCAATTAAAACATGCAAGACTTATTTAGAAATAAATACAACAGTATGTTATGTGCTTTATTTAGCTGTAAACAAGTTTATTTTTATTATTTTGACAAAATTTATGTATAATTCCCATAAGAAGCCATGTATTTTGAACACCCTATGCAGTACCAGCGCCCATGCGGTTAGTTATAGAAGCTCAATTAGCATTCGCTTTTGGGACCGTATTTTGAGTATGCCGATTCGTCTCCTTATCTCTAGTCTTCATATTAACAAAACTTCGTCATTAGTTAGTAGTGCTTTTTTACTCCTTGAAAGTATTGATACATTGAAGCCATTAAACTATCAGGAATTTTTCATAATGCCGATTTTTAGCAATTAAGAACTAAATAGCTGTATACTGGAATTATTCTCTTCTAAAAGGTGAAGGCAATGAGACTGAGAGATCTGTGAAACTAACGACCATCGGCTAATGGACAAATATCCTGGTCAAAAAATCCAACCTCACACACAACTAGCGATTAAATTTATATCCATATCAATTTAGTACTTTTCATCAGACTATTTGTTACTGATTACTTACAAGAGAACTTATTTTTTTTAATTCAAACAAAAAGGGGGATATCTCACATAAATCATATCAAAATCCGTTTGGTGGTTCAGAAGACGAAAGTGAAGAGGCAGTGACTTTGTTTTATGTCATTTATGTCATACATGAAAAAAAAAATCAGTTGTTTTTTCTCCTTCCCCTAAAAAAAAGTGTGCTTCGGTATGACCCTGCTTCTCCCTTTATGATTAGGTCAAGTGGTGGAGGTTTAGAATGATTTCCACAGTTGCTGTCGGTGTACTTCTCAGTTCTCCTATAATACAAAGGCATGCCACCCTCTATACTCCTGACAGACTTGCTGTAGAGTAACGTAACGTGCACATTTGGCAGTTGAAAATTCTTAATTTTATGCTTACTTGCCTTGTTTAATGTGAAAGAAAAGGGATAAAAACTTTCTTGGAGCTGGTTTAAGATTTGGGGTTTATTATTTGTTCAATCTTTGTTCATTTGTCTAACGACTAACGTTTTAATATTTGATATACCTTCTCAATAGACGGGTGTATGTAAATGTATTCGTGTTTCCTGGAAATGATAAGTTGATAAATTGCTGTTTCATAATTAGCGTATTTTTTAATACAAGCTTGCGATATTTCAGTAACTTATCAGGTACTCATTTCCAGAGAATAAAAATAAATGAACAGAGATGATATTGTCAATAAGTTCTACTAGTTTCCAACAAATAATTTTTTCAAAATTAGGAATTTTGAACTGCCAAATCATCAATTAACAAGTATAATATTGTATATAATTTTGTTCTACCAGAGTATTAAATGTAATTTGTTTATTGCAGAGAGAAAATGGCCTTCTTCACTAGATCAGACAGCAACGTACCTTTCCTTCCTACACAAGATGAGTGCCATTCGACCAGCAACACTTTGAAGCGTTCATCGACTGAAGACAAACCCGCCGCCGTAGAAAAGTGTTGTTTATCTAGATGTGAGGATATCAAACAAATCAAGCAAAATGGTTTGGACGACGATAGCATCGTCAATGGCGACGAGGACGCGATCGATACCGACCAACGGTTCGATTACGTCGTCGATAGAGTATTAGGGGTCGAAGTTTAATATTTATTTTATTAAACGTTTAGATAATTTTTTTTATTAAGATCGGATTCGTTTCTAAATATCTATCGCGCAGCAGAAATTTGCAATTTTGAGGTTAGGTAGATATTTCGTAACGAATTTCGCTGTACATAGTCTGTAAAATTGTAAATTTGTCAATAAGGTGTTCCATAATCTCGAGGAGTGTGCCACATTGTAGTTTTTAATTTTTTTTCTTTTTCTATGCGAGATTGGCGCTATATTTGATAGGATGATTACTCAATTAACTAGATTTTTTTATCTCATATTTACATTAAAATAATAGGGTGTCAATATGGCACTATTTTAACTTTTGACGTGACTTTTGTCTAAATGGTAATTTTTGACGTTTATCATGACATTTAAGATATTTTAAAATTGCATTGAAATTAGCTTTTTGAAATGAAAATTGATCATTATAACGATTTTTTAGGTGGGAATGGTCACTATCAAATTGATATGTTTTTTTATTCTAAAATGACATTAACGTTAGCTGTGACTTTTTTCACATCTAAATAAATATCTTAATGTTCGATAAATATGATAGTTTTAGAGAGTAAATTGACCATTATTTTAGATGTAAATACTATCAAATTTGACATGTGGCTTTTTTATTTTAAATACCGTCGGCTATAACTTTTTTGAAATTGAAATAGACATTTTAAAGTTTGACATGTCCTTTTTTGTTCTAAAAAAAGACAACGGCTGTGATTTTTTGCAGTTTAATTCTCTATTAAATCATTTTTTTATCTGCAAATATGGCATTGATATTGTCGGTTGTAACTTTTTTCAAATTGAATTCGACATTTTAACTTTTTTTTTTTTTATTCTAAAATAGCATCAATATCGTTGGCTGTTTTTTGAAATTTAAATATAACATTTTAACGTTGAACATGACGTTTTTGACATTAGAATTGTCAATAGTAACTTTCGACGTGCAATAGGTCATTATAAATTTTGATGTACGGTTTTAAATTCTCTGTCTGACGGTTGACGAGATGTTTTCAAAGTGTAAATGTTCAAGTGTAAGTTATTTTTTACTTTTTTTTAATTTTTGACTAGACGTTTTCGAGTGTACATTGTGACAATAACGTAGGACGTGACGTATTTAAAGTGAAAATGGTCTTTTCAATGTTTAACGAGACCTTTTTATAATATATTAGGAGTAAAGACGTTTTTTAGTTTTAAATGTTAATGTTCTTGTAGAGTGAAACAACTATCGTGTTATCAAAATAGCGTCCATCCTGTATAAACGCATCTTGTGTTCTTAACATAATGGTACGGTGTTTTTTCTCTCCAAAAGACGTTTGTATTTTTGTAATTTATTCAAGTTATACCAACGCACATGTTTCTGTCCAAAAGGCTTAATTTTCATTTTAGCATATTAGCTACAAATAATAATTAACCAAATTTTCTTTTTTTCCAAAATAACATAATCTTCCAACGCTGTGATGTAGTGCCTTCAGATTATTTCTATTTCTGGTATAAAAAAAGATCCGCTGAGGGCTGAAGTTTATATGTAGAACTTAAACCGTCCATTTTTCAATTATTAATTGATTTAAATATTATTTGAGATTGACTTTTTAGCAAGTATTAAGACATTTTGTTACTTTTGACATTTCATTACTCGGCGATTTTTTGGTGTTTAGTCACTTAATTTTCAACTTTTTTGTAGTAAATTTTTGATGCTTGTTGAATTTTAATGTTTTTGTTAATTGGCCATTTATTTAAACTTTGAATATCTTTGTCGTTTCGATGATATTTGTTGACTTTTAGAACTAAATTGAGTAACTAAAGTGTCTTCAAAACTTGCTTTTATTGTCTTTTTTTTGGACATAAATTCTACTGCATTCATTATACTATGCATATTTCCAATTAGGTGATTTTGTCAAATTTCAATTTCGGCAATAAGAATACAGAGTGTCCCATAAATATACCGACAAAATAAATATGTCCGAAAACGCTAATTTCCTAAATACAGGGTATTTTATACAAAAATGACGCCCAGTAGATATTTGCAATTTTTATAATTATAATAAAATATTTAAAAATATAACTGTTCAGTTAATATTAATCCCTAAAAGTTTGTCTGTATATTTAAGAAACACTTTACAACATAATGTTATATCATTTCTTGGCAAATTTGGAAAACGAGCTGGCGAATTGGAATAATTTTTTTACAGTATTTCAGTGAAATTGAACCTTATTTAGTTAAAAAATGATAAAAACATTCTCGAATATTTTAAATAATCATCAAATAATAATAAATTATTTCTGATTGGAATTTTTATAGTATTTAGAATATTTTATTGTTAATCTCAAAAAAATGACAAATATCCAAGTGATAATAAAAATTCTCAATTTTATGTTCATTATATCATTTTGTCTTGTGTACAAATGGAAATAATACCGTGTCGATTCGGAATTGCTGTACAATTTTTTAATTTTTAACTTTGTATAAATTCGCTGAATCTTAATATTTTTTTTATATTTTTTTACTAGTGTTATTTCAACTATATTAGTTGGATATAATTTTATTATTCTCCTAAATCTACTTCTTGATTTTTGTTTTTTCTTGTATTATATGTAAATAGCGAAAAGTTTGTTTTAAGAAAACGTAAATTATATATAAATACATTCTTATTAAAATATATGGTTCTAATATTGAAATATCTAATAAAATTTGTTTTTAATAAACACGATTTTTATTTTAATTGATAGTTGACAGCTATAAAAAAATGTAGATTTAAGAACCGTTATAAACTGGAGTTCTTTTTTCGTTAAAAGCTCGTAATCCTTCTATCCTATCTTTCGTAGGTATCACTTTCGAGTAACAAACTTCTTCGAAAGTCAACCCAGTACCAAGATCAACTTCTAATCCTTTATTTATGGCTTGCTTAGCCATTCTCACAGCTACAGGACCATTAGGTAATATTTTTTCGGCGATATTTAAGGATTTAGAATAGGCAGCGTCACAATTTTCGTTTTGTTCCATGACATAGTTGACCAATCCGAGTTTCTCGGCTTCTTTTCCGTTTAAAATGGCGGCTGTGAAAATTAGTTCCTTAGCTATCGAAGGATTTATCAATCTGGGAAGTAGCTGTGTGCCACCTGCTCCAGGGATGATTGCTAACTTTGTTTCAACTAGTCCTAGTTTGACGTTTTCTGCTGCTACACGAATATCACAAGATAACGCTAATTCTAAACCACCACCTAAAAATTTTAACAAAATTAATAATCATAATTCGGATGGGCTGCTTAGAATTCTAACAAATAATGCAGCTATCGAACTCGGAGAAAATGATAAATGCGTATGTAGGAGAACAATCTAAGCACAAATACAAATTTTCCATACTTCCACGCATTCCTGTTACCCTGATACAAATTCCATCATGATATCTCCTCGCTTTTCTACAATCCTGATACAAAGTTCCAAATTCGAAAAGATCCAATTTTGTCTACAAAATTTTGGTATGAGGATAGCAGAAACGCGACAAGGTATTTGACGTATTTTTAAATGCGAATAACTACTAAACGGCTCTAGATAGAGGCAAGCGGTAAGTGGCATTTTAAACTATCCCTCCGGCTCTACCTTTGTGTGAATTTATGGAATAATTCGATCATTATTAACTGAGGAATTGAGAAAAAAAAATTAACCCTTATAGCTAGGGAGCAACTGAGTTCACCCCTTAATTGCTCGTGCTTTCTTTTATATGTACCCCCAATTTTCATCAAGATCGGAGACAAAAAAAATTTTTGTCAAAAATTTTGGAAGGCTATACCCTTTCGATTTTTTTCAAAATATAAAAAACAATTTAAATTTGCATACGGATAGTAGGTCACATGTAGATCTCAAAAATACACTCAGTTTTTTTCTAACAGCAATAATAAAAAAGTTGTGGCAAAAATAAAAAGTTTCGATATCTCCTCGCGTTTCTATTATCCTGATACAAAGTTCCAAATTTGAAAAGATCCAATTTTGTCTACAAAATTTTGGTATGAGGATAGCAGAAACGCGACAAGGTATTTGACGTATTTTTAAATGCAAATAACTACTAAACGGCTCTAGATAGAGGCAAGCGGTAAGTGGCATTTTAAACTATCCCTCCGGCTCTACCTTTGTGTGAATTTATGGAATAATTCGATCATTATTAACTGAGGAATTGAGAAAAAAAAATTAACCCTTATAGCTAGGGAGCAACTGAGTTCACCCCTTAATTGCTCGTGCTTTCTTTTATATGTACCCCAATTTTCATCAAGATCGGAGAGAAAAAAAATTTTTGTCAAAAATTTTGGAAGGCTATACCCTTTCGATTTTTTTCAAAATATAAAAAACAATTTAAATTTGCATACGGATAGTAGGTCACATGTAGATCTCAAAAATACACTCAGTTTTTTTCTAACGGCAATAATAAAAAAGTTGTGGCAAAAATAAAAATTTTCGATATCTCCTCGCGTTTCTATTATCCTGATACAAAGTTCCAAATTTGAAAAGATCCAATTTTGTCTACAAAATTTTGGTATGAGGATAGCAGAAACGCGACAAGGTATTTGACGTATTTTTAAATGCGAATAACTACTAAACGGCTCTAGATAGAGGCAAGCGGTAAGGGGCATTTTAAACTATCCGTCCGGCTCTACCTTTGTGTGAATTTATGGAATAATTCGAGCATTATTAACTGAGGAATTGAGAAAAAAAAAATTAACCCTTATAGCTAGGGAGCAACTGAGTTCACCCCTTAATTGCTCGTGCTTTCTTTTATATGTACCCCAATTTTCATCAAGATCGGAGACAAAAAAAATTTTTGTCAAAAATTTTGGAAGGCTATACCCTTTCGATTTTTTTCAAAATATAAAAAACAATTTAAATTTGCATACGGATAGTAGGTCACATGTAGATCTCAAAATTACACTCAGTTTTTTTCTAACAGCAATAATAAAAAAGTTGTGGCAAAAATAAAAATTTTCGATATCTCCTCGCGTTTCTATTATCCTGATACAAAGTTCCAAATTTGAAAAGATCCAATTTTGTCTACAAAATTTTGGTATGAGGATAGCAGAAACGCGACAAGGTATTTGACGTATTTTTAAATGCGAATAACTACTAAACGGCTCTAGATAGAGGCAAGCGGTAAGTGGCATTTTAAACTATCCCTCCGGCTCTACCTTTGTGTGAATTTATGGAATAATTCGATCATTATTAACTGAGGAATTGAGAAAAAAAAATTAACCCTTATAGCTAGGGAGCAACTGAGTTCACCCCTTAATTGCTCGTGCTTTCTTTTATATGTACCCCAATTTTCATCAAGATCGGAGACAAAAAAAATTTTTGTCAAAAATTTTGGAAGGCTATACCCTTTCGATTTTTTTCAAAATATAAAAAACAATTTAAATTTGCATACGGATAGTAGGTCACATGTAGATCTCAAAAATACACTCAGTTTTTTTCTAACGGCAATAATAAAAAAGTTGTGGCAAAAATAAAAATTTTCGATATCTCCTCGCGTTTCTATTATCCTGATACAAAGTTCCAAATTTGAAAAGATCCAATTTTGTCTACAAAATTTTGGTATGAGGATAGCAGAAACGCGACAAGGTATTTGACGTATTTTTAAATGCGAATAACTACTAAACGGCTCTAGATAGAGGCAAGCGGTAAGGGGCATTTTAAACTATCCGTCCGGCTCTACCTTTGTGTGAATTTATGGAATAATTCGAGCATTATTAACTGAGGAATTGAGAAAAAAAATTAACCCTTATAGCTAGGGAGCAACTGAGTTCACCCCTTAATTGCTCGTGCTTTCTTTTATATGTACCCCAATTTTCATCAAGATCGGAGACAAAAAAAATTTTTGTCAAAAATTTTGGAAGGCTATACCCTTTCGATTTTTTTCAAAATATAAAAAACAATTTAAATTTGCATACGGATAGTAGGTCACATGTAGATCTCAAAAATACACTCAGTTTTTTTCTAACAGCAATAATAAAAAAGTTGTGGCAAAAATAAAAATTTTCGATATCTCCTCGCGTTTCTATTATCCTGATACAAAGTTCCAAATTTGAAAAGATCCAATTTTGTCTACAAAATTTTGGTATGAGGATAGCAGAAACGCGACAAGGTATTTGACGTATTTTTAAATGCGAATAACTACTAAACGGCTCTAGATAGAGGCAAGCGGTAAGGGGCACTTTAAACTATCCGTCCGGCTCTACCTTTGTGTGAATTTATGGAATAATTCGAGCATTATTAACTGAGGAATTGAGAAAAAAAAAATTAACCCTTATAGCTAGGGAGCAACTGAGTTCACCCCTTAATTGCTCGTGCTTTCTTTTATATGTACCCCAATTTTCATCAAGATCGGAGACAAAAAAAATTTTTGTCAAAAATTTTGGAAGGCTATACCCTTTCGATTTTTTTCAAAATATAAAAAACAATTTAAATTTGCATACGGATAGTAGGTCACATGTAGATCTCAAAAATACACTCAGTTTTTTTCTAACAGCAATAATAAAAAAGTTGTGGCAAAAATAAAAATTTTCGATATCTCCTCGCGTTTCTATTATCCTGATACAAAGTTCCAAATTTGAAAAGATCCAATTTTGTCTACAAAATTTTGGTATGAGGATAGCAGAAACGCGACAAGGTATTTGACGTATTTTTAAATGCGAATAACTACTAAACGGCTCTAGATAGAGGCAAGCGGTAAGGGGCATTTTAAACTATCCGTCCGGCTCTACCTTTGTGTGAATTTATGGAATAATTCGAGCATTATTAACTGAGGAATTGAGAAAAAAAATTAACCCTTATAGCTAGGGAGCAACTGAGTTCACCCCTTAATTGCTCGTGCTTTCTTTTATATGTACCCCCAATTTTCATCAAGATCGGAGACAAAAAAAATTTTTGTCAAAAATTTTGGAAGGCTATACCCTTTCGATTTTTTTCAAAATATAAAAAACAATTTAAATTTGCATACGGATAGTAGGTCACATGTAGATCTCAAAAATACACTCAGTTTTTTTCTAACAGCAATAATAAAAAAGTTGTGGCAAAAATAAAAATTTTCGATATCTCCTCGCGTTTCTATTATCCTGATACAAAGTTCCAAATTTGAAAAGATCCAATTTTGTCTACAAAATTTTGGTATGAGGATAGCAGAAACGCGACAAGGTATTTGACGTATTTTTAAATGCAAATAACTACTAAACGGCTCTAGATAGAGGCAAGCGGTAAGTGGCATTTTAAACTATCCCTCCGGCTCTACCTTTGTGTGAATTTATGGAATAATTCGATCATTATTAACTGAGGAATTGAGAAAAAAAAATTAACCCTTATAGCTAGGGAGCAACTGAGTTCACCCCTTAATTGCTCGTGCTTTCTTTTATATGTACCCCCAATTTTCATCAAGATCGGAGAGAAAAAAAATTTTTGTCAAAAATTTTGGAAGGCTATACCCTTTCGATTTTTTTCAAAATATAAAAAACAATTTAAATTTGCATACGGATAGTAGGTCACATGTAGATCTCAAAAATACACTCAGTTTTTTTCTAACAGCAATAATAAAAAAGTTGTGGCAAAAATAAAAATTTTCGATATCTCCTCGCGTTTCTATTATCCTGATACAAAGTTCCAAATTTGAAAAGATCCAATTTTGTCTACAAAATTTTGGTATGAGGATAGCAGAAACGCGACAAGGTATTTGACGTATTTTTAAATGCGAATAACTACTAAACGGCTCTAGATAGAGGCAAGCGGTAAGGGGCATTTTAAACTATCCGTCCGGCTCTACCTTTGTGTGAATTTATGGAATAATTCGAGCATTATTAACTGAGGAATTGAGAAAAAAAAAATTAACCCTTATAGCTAGGGAGCAACTGAGTTCACCCCTTAATTGCTCGTGCTTTCTTTTATATGTACCCCAATTTTCATCAAGATCGGAGACAAAAAAAATTTTTGTCAAAAATTTTGGAAGGCTATACCCTTTCGATTTTTTTCAAAAAATAAAAAACAATTTAAATTTACATCCGGATAGTAGGTCACATGTAGATCTCAAAAATACATTCAGTTTTTTTCTAACAGCAATAATAAAAAAGTTGTGGCTCATTTAAAGATAGTTTATTAAAAAAGTAGTGAAGATAGAGGAAGCAGATAGGTAAGACATTTTAAATTACTTACTGTAACGCAAATATAGAGCTGGGTTGATATATTAGAGCGCATCTCTATCTTGAGCCGTTTCAGTTATTCTAGTTTAAAAATATGTGTAGTTGACAGACAATACAGAATACACTAATGTGTAATGATGGTTGCCTATATTTACAAGAGAACTTATAAGATGGGTGTTGCCGTTGTTATTAAAATTGTAATAAATCTACGAATATTTTATTCAAGTGGATCTTTAATATAATTTCAAATGTCATAATTTCAGTGACAAAAGAAATCACGGTATTAGGCTGTTACCGCTATACCAGTAAGTGTTCTGTGCGCTATACGGAACTCTTAACTTGTTGGTATGATGGTATTTACCTAAAGCTACTCCGTCCAGTGCTGCTATAACAGGTATAGGAAGATTGAAAATTTTATGTGAAAGACCTCTTAACTTTTTTACAAAATTGTGCACATCTTCTTGACTCATTTCGAGTCGTTCCTTCAAATCTGCCCCTAAAATTTTTTACAGAATTAATCAGAGCCGTCAAACGTCAAATTAATGTCAATTTTGCGTGACCACACTAAACTTGATTCAGTACGTATCAATTTTAAATATTTTTAACTTTACCTGCACAAAATATCTTTGGAACGAGACTGTGTATGATTAAAACTCTTGCAGAACTTTCGTAAGCTATTTGGTCTAGGACGTTAATAAAACTGTCTACCAATTCCGCACTCAAAGCGTTTTTCTGTTGTGGTCTGTTAAATCCTATAAGAGATATTCCATTTCGTTTCCCACTTAATTGCTTATGCACAAGTACTTTACTGGCATTTTGTGAATATTTTCTACCTAATTGCGTAAACAAACTACCTAATTTGGTGCTCATTTTTTTAAATAAATGAGAGGTTTTCTTATTGCTAACAAAACAAGATTGAAAGGTCAAATACAACAATAATTATATCAGTATGTACAAACAAAAATGTATATTCATCAGATATAAGTTATTACAGTGTTGCTTATAAATCGTAATAGAAATATAGAAAATTTTCAAAACAGTAATAGAATATTTTTAAAAACATTGAGTAGTGTCATCTGTTAATTGGAGGTAAAATTACTATACATGTGGCGCCATCGTCTACTACAGATACAAAATTAGCTTTTTAAAATATTAGAAAACTGCGCCACTGTCAGATGATTTAAAATATTAGGCATTCCAAACAAAATGGCTGCCAGTGGTTTTTGATAACCTTGTGGGTTTCGTGATTTGACAATTATATAGATTGATCATACATGTTTTTAAAATAAACATGTAGGTAATTATTATTTTTAAATATCTTCAACGGCTGGTAAATTAGTTTTAAAACATAATTTTGCTAAATCAATTTTAATTAATGAGCACTTGCCAGGAAATATGTCCTTTCGCAAAACTTGTTTTGAGCAATCTATATAACATATGTATCATTGACAACATGCCGACAAGGTTGCCATATCTATACTGTCAGTTGCTACTTGTCAGAATTTTGTGCTCATTAATTAGAATCGGTTTGCCAAAAATGTGTTTTAAAACCAATTTCAAGTATTTGAATATATTAAAAAAAATTATTACCTACGTTTTTACTTCAAGGCATAAGCTTATGTTTATTTTAAAAACATGAATGATCAATCTATATAACTATCTATAGCATTGTCATATGTCATATCAAAACCCATTTTATTAAAACACCTAATAACTTCTAACCTCATTTTTTTAACCTAAAAAATTTAAAATAAATAAAATGTTACCGAATGTAATTAATAAAATACAGAACGCTTTATTAAAAAATTATAAAAGAAATACCTCAAGTTATACTATTAATACAATATTACAAAATACTAAAGCTGGAGATAAAATAAATTTAAAGGTTCCTAAGAATATTTTTTGTTGCATTTCGTAGAATATCATAAAATTTCAAGAGTTGAAATCAGCTTTGTAATTTCAGGGATGGATAAAATCGTTAAGAAAACAAAAAGAAAATATTTTTATAGACATAAGCGACGGTTCTACTTCAGAAAAGTTGCAAATAATCATCGCTCAAAACGTCGCTCCTAAAAACATTTCAACAGGGGCTTCGATAAGCACCTCGGGGGTGATACAGCTGTCTCCTAAAGGTCAAAAGGAATTGAATGCCGAAGAAATTACCATTCATGGTGATTGTGTTGTCAGTGATGGTTATCCCTTTGCACCTAGAAAACAGTACACCCCTGAGTATATACGGCAGCATTTACATTTTAGACCTAGAACGAATAAATTTTCATCTCTTTTAAGAATCAGGAGTAACGCTCATATTAGTTTTCACAATTATTTAACCAGCCAGGGTTATATTAACGTGCAAACTCCAATTCTCACATCAAATGATTGCGAAGGGGCTGGAGAAGTGTTCAGAGTGCTCCCCGAAAATCAGGCCTTAGTAAAATCGATGGCCAAAGAAGGTAATTCTATTTTTTTCCATCAATTTTAGGTATTTTTCTTTATTATTCTTTCAGCACAATCTTTAGATGAAGCTTTTTTCGATACAAAAACGTTCCTAACAGTCTCAGGCCAACTTCATTTAGAAGCAGCAGCACATGGCCTAAGCAAAGTTTACACTCTGGGACCGACATTCAGGGCTGAAAACTCTAGAAGCAGATTACATTTAGCAGAATTCTATATGTTAGAAGCAGAAATCGCATTTATAGATAGAATAGAAGATCTAATGTCACCAATAGAAAAATTAATAAAAAACGTAACGAAAATGGTTTTGGACACTAATGAAAACGATATTAGCGTCTGTAGAAATGATGGTACAGTGAATTTTGCATGGTTAGAAAAAGATTTCGCTGTTATGACGTATGCAGAAGCTGAAAATGTATTGAAAAACCATCAGGAGTTTGAAAATGGATTTAGGACTGAAAATGGCATTACTAAGGAACATGAATTTTTTTTGGTGAAGCACTGTGGAAATATTCCTGTATTTGTAATCAATTGGCCCAAAGACATCAAGCCATTTTATATGAGAGAATGTCCAAATGATACATCAATGGTAAATTGTTTTAAGCAACCATCAAAATTTAAAAAAATATATTTTTTTGATTCCATTACAGGTTGCGGCATTAGATTTGCTGGTTCCGGAAGTTGGCGAAATAGTGGGAGGAAGTTTGCGCGAAAACGATCTGAATAAGTTAAAAGAAAAATTACCAAAAGATTCTAATGGACTGGACTGGTATATGGATTTGAGAAAATTCGGCGGCGTGCCGACTGGGGGATACGGTTTGGGATTCGAAAGATATTTATTATTTTTGACGGGAATATCGAACATAAAAGATGTGATACCGTTTCCGAGATGGCCTCACAATTGTAACATGTAATTTACTTTTATAATAGTTAATAAACATTTTTTTGTTAAAATTTGTTTTTTTTTATGAATTTTCTGCTAAATGATAAATTAAATCAGTAGTTCAAATGTATCTGATGTTATAATAGGTCTTTTCCTTTGCATCGACAGTGTAGCACTGAGCTAAGTTACTTCTGAAAATGTCGTTCCATCCATACAATTTGTATAAATGGAACGATATTTTCAGAAGTGGTGTAGCTCAGTGCTACACTTTCGATGTAAAGGAAAAGACCTATTAAAAGGCCCGTATTTATAAACAGAACTTACGTGAGTCGGACTTGGGTAAGTCGTCCTTGAACTAAAATCGAAGTTCGGTTACAACACGTCTCTAAAGTTCTAGTGTTTGACTGGAATTTAGAGATGGATATTAGCAAATATGTAACTGTTTTGTACATTTACGGATTTGTTACTACCCATCTCTAATTTTTTTCTTCGATTTTCGTTCAAGGACGACTTACCCAAGTCCGACTCAGCTGAGTTTTGTTTATAAATACGGGCCTAATAACATGCTGATTTTTTAAAATTTTAATGATTTTGGATAAATTAATTGCAAATTAAGCAAGTAGGTAGTTCAAATATCACCAAATTAACAAGAGTAATGATTTTTTTATTATTATGATACTTCAAATGAATTTTTGATAAGTAATCGCCTATCAAGCCAGTAATTCAAATCTGTTAATTTAGATGAAATAATGAACTTCGATTTTTTAAACTTTATTCAACATTTCAAACGCATTTTTGATAAATTGCTAAATACGCCAGTAGTTCAAACGTATCAGATCTTAAATTTAGAGCAAATTAATTTCCAGTATTGATTTTTTTTTAAATTGAGACACTTCAAATGCATTTAGTTAGGGGGCCACTCTAACCACAAGCCTTTTGGGGGTGGCAAGTATTATTGGTATTATATTTTTAATAGAATCTTTTCGTGAACAAAAATCACGTAAATTTACCCGGCTGGGAAAATAATATGTTACTTTTGTTTAATGTAATAAATTGACTTTTTAGTTCTAACCCTTTGTCAGTATATTTTCTAATGAAAAGGGGCGAATTATCTTTAGTAGTATCTTAGGACGGTCCAACATTAAGGATATTAATATCAAATTAAACAATAACTTCAAATGTATCAAATTTGTTTCTCATAACAATATTGATTTTTTAAATTTACTTGAAATTAAAGATCGTTTTGATTTTCTTTTAAGTGTAACTCTTTTGATATAATAATAATTGCTAATTGTGCAATAAAATGAACGTTCAAAAGATAAAACAAATTTTAATTCCAGTAGTACAAGGACATTAAAACATGTAACAGCAGTCTACAACAAAAATAAATTAAAAAAATTCGATAAACAAAAAAACGTATATTAAATTAGATAAGAGTACAGTAGTTCAAATGTACAGACATGTTAAATTTAATAACTGTTGTGTCAGAAGCAATATACGAGGTACCTAGACGCGTTGTGGGAGGTTCCCAAACGCACTCCAGCAAAAACTTAAAAATTATATAACTAATTGACATCCTACCAATTTTTGGCGCGATGTTCAATAATTTACTCCGAAAATTTTGATGACTAACATTTCGAATTGAAATAAAATTAAAGAATTACGTAAATAAAACACTAAACAGCAAAAATCGATGAAAGTAACTTCTTAGCTGAGAGTCTGTTGTATATATTGAACTGGTTTACACATCAATGAAGCTCATAGTTACAGATTTATTTCAGAAACAAAAAATGGTATACATAATAAAAACTATGAATAACACGGGCATATTCAGAAATAGCCAATATGCGACGAAGAACAAAAACAAAGATATGACGTTTTTCACATATTATCCAATAAAAATTACTAACTTTTTTTTTGCTTAATATTCCCGATCTAAGTGTATTTTGGTTACGAAACTTAAAATTCAATTTACAGAAAATTTTATCGTTTTTGCCTTGGGACTCTTCAAATATTAATAATAAACCAACATTTTTTTTAACTTAATTCAATCAATACTTCGACTTAAAAAACAACTACCTCAGTCAACTCGCAAATCATCATCGAAAGTTACTCTTTTCAGCTTCTTTATGGGTCTATTACTGTCAGAGACGCTATCGCATCTTTTGCGTTTTCCCGCATCTCCTTCGTCCTCTTCTTGAGTGGAATCTAACGTAACAACGACAGGCTGGTGGTCCTCAATAGGTAATTCCGAGATGGTTGTGAAACCTTCAAGATCAGTTTCGGTTTCCGATTTCTGTTCGTCACTATTTTGAGTGGAAATTTTTATAAAATCTTCTAGGCTTACATCTGCGCTTTCTTGGGTCGATTGGTCTTTGTCATTTTCTTGACTATCATTATCGACTTCTTGGCTTAAATCGTCTTGTTTCGCGTCGTTTCCATTTTGTGCTGTGAATAATAATAATAATAATTACAGTATTGGGTTAAGAAAATATGGCGAGACACTGTTAGAATAGTATAACAGCATGCAATGAAAATTTTCGTGTTATCGCGGCATAGGCGATTGCATGAAAATTTATAAATTCAGGTCAAAAGAAATAACTTTTTTATAAAGGAAAGTTACTGAGTGTTGCTGAAGGGGTGAAAATCGATTTTGCTTTCGTAATTGTTATTGATGTAATAAAATTACAATATTCCTTAGATCAGCCATACTCAACCTGTGGCTCATCGGGCCTTAACGTGCTATTATTAGGAAGCTTATTTTTTAAAATTTCTGATTTTTAAGTCTGAAATTTAAAGTGCTCTAATATCACGCTAATGTTTAAATGAATGTTTGTATGTGTTTGGGTTTTGTGTTTTATTCATTACAAGGGCTGTAATGAGTTTCCCGCTAATTTTAAATGGATGACATAAAAAGAAGGGGGCAACACCCAAAAATATAGCGGTTATTGTTAAATAGCAAACATATGTATGTGAACCCGAAAGAAAAAAAGGTTGAGTATAGCTGCCTTAGATTAAACCAGCCATACCCAACCTGTGGCCCGCCAAGCTTGTATGTGTGACTCGCCAAGCTTGTATGTGTGGCTCGATCACTGAATTCTTCACACTTTTAGTTTATTTCTGTTTTAAACAAAGATGTGAAGAAAATATTTTGAATTCTATCAGGAAATATCGATGTTTATTATCACAGGACATTTCTACGTTTTTTTTTTTTTAACCGGACTGGAACAGAGAAAAGTAACGTATCAACAATGGCGGCCATTAATAATAAAAAAAAAAAAAAAATCGAAATTTCCTAAGGTACATAGCTCTCATGTGTGAGTAGGGCTAAAACTGAAAAATCTCGGAAATTGAATGTTTTACAAAGATCAACAGTCATTTTTTGTGACAAATTGTATGACCGTTTTATACTAACACACTTTTATGGCATGATGTTTAATCTTAGTGCATCAGTATTTGTTTATGGTCAAAAGTAAATCTTCTAAATCTTTAGTTTTCATGTTATTATTTCTTCTTAAATATATGTGATAAAACTGATGTTTTTTTTTTTTGATAAGCAAGAAAACATATTCTCATTTACCGATGATGTATATAAATATAAAAAAGTACCATTATAATTATGGTGATTTAATATTATTACCTTAATTGAAAAATTCTGCAGGATATACATTATTTTTGAATAATAATAAGAAAAAAATCTAGTTTCTTAAAATTTATTGTTTTGATAATTGTTATTAATTTTTAGTCAAAACAACATACACCGTTTACTACATCAAAAATTGTTTTGTATATAATTATTGCGATGAGTGCACTAGTTTTAATAAATCAACAAAATTAGCTGAATCAGCTGGAGTATTTAATTTAATCTAAAAATAATAAATCTAGTTAAAAATTATTTAATTTTGTCAAATAACAAGAGTATAATACATTAACTGATATCATGCAGAATTTTTCAATTCAATTATATTAAATCACAGTATTTATAATGGTGATTTTTTTTCTAAACATTTTGAATATGTATACATCGACCGTAAAGGAGAATATTTTTTCTTTATCAGTTTCATTACATATAAAGTATTTCATTTTTTTTATTCAAGAATTCAATTAATTGCTCAAAATCTATCGTAAAAACAAATATATTAAGGGTGGTCTGACAAACGGTTTTGTCAAGATACCAGATTTAAATTTCTACTTACTACTGATCAAACTCTGTAAAAAAATAAAAAAAAAACTTGTTTTATGTGCAAATCTTCAAAAAAAAAAAAATTATCTATGCATTTATAAAATATATTTTGGTTTTTATTATGGATTACCACTCTTTAGCGGCAATCGTCGCTTTATTATTACCTGCCTAGTGTCGAGTCCAGTTACTTTACTGACAGACATAACAGATTACCAATCAAACAATAGATACGACAACTTACCAGTATCTTCCTCAACGTTATTTTCATCCACAGCAGAGTTCTCTTCGGACTTTGAAGTTGCTCCTTCATCACTTTCGCCAATTTGGACGTCATCTTTAGTGACGTTTTCATCCACATCAGAATTTTTCTCAGTGTCATCGCTGTAATAATGTAGTTCTTCTGTATTCTTAGTTTCTTTGGATTCATGTTTTTCCATTACTTCATTGTCACAATTAGGTTCTTCATTTTTATTTACGTTTTCTTCAGATTCACTTTTCTCCACAGCTTCAATATCAGTTTCATCAGGTTTTACTTCTTGCAATGATGTTACTTTATCGGCTATTTCGTCGCATTTTTCAGAATCCTTTTCTTTTATTAATCCGTTTTGTTCTGTAATTTTTTCTTTTGTAGTAACTGCTTTGACTGAAATGTCTAGGTTTTCTGAATCCTCATTAGTGGTTTGGGTATTTTCTTCAGTAGATTGAGTCTCGTTATCTCCGCTGGTTTCCAATTGGTCTATTATACCACTAATATCAATTTTCTCGTCTTGGTTGGGTTTCACTATATCAAAACTGTCATTTGCAGCTTCGGTTTCTATCCTTCTCACCGGACTTAACGAATCGTCATCGCTTTTCAATTCCAAATCAATACTATCTTCGGATTCTATGACGTTAGTATCTTCATCGCGGATATTTTTCTCAGACATTTTCATTTGTTCCAACTTTATTGATAAGTTCCTCTTAAATTCTGGAATTGATTCGGTTAATTTTTGTTTCACCTGTATTTCCTTTTTGGCGGATTTTTTTGCTTTTTGGTTTAGTTTAATTTTAAAAAATTGTTTTTTCTTTATGTCTACTTTACTTTCTTCTCCAGAGTCCGATGAAATTTCTACGATTCTAGATCTTTTCTTTCTCAGATCCTTCATTATACTTTTGTCCTTTGTTACAGTTATATTATCTGTAACCTCCTTATTATTCTTGCGTTGTTTACTAACTTCCTTAATAACCTGACTCTCCATGAACTCATTATTTTCCTCTACCTCCATAATATCCTGAGTTTTATTATCCTTACTATTTCTGGATCTTCTAACATTTGTGCCGGTTTCTAATTTTACAAAGTTAGCTTTCTTTTCTAGTGAGCTTTGTAATTTAACAATAAGGACTTGATTCATGAATTTCTGATCTTGTTTAACAATTTCCAATAATTTTATATCAGTGCTTTGTTGGCTTAATGGCTTTATATTGATAGATGACACATCTAAGTTACGTTTTTCCGCATCTGATGTACGCGATTTTATTGAAAATGATTTTAATTCTGATTTGGATGTTTTTTCACGTTTTTTGGAAATCGGGGTCGAATGACTTGTAATATTATCGTCGAATTTTGGAATTTTGACTTCGATTCTTAAATTTGGCTAAAAATGTAAAACAATTTTAACAAAAAAAAAACTCACATTGTCAATGTTCAAAAAAGCGCTATAACTAGAAAAATATTGTGATTGGACTTAGTGGCAACATTTTAATAGTTATTTATTGAAGAACTTCTGAAATACCTAATGTACAAAAAACTTATATTACAATTAATCATAAGAAAGCCTTCTCACAAATTTTGTGGGGGACATTTTAAAAACTCCTCAACAGGGAAAGTTTACCTTACAAGTTAATAAGTTTAATAAAAATATACACATAACAGACAAAGGCCACAGTCAACAATAACTGTATATCTGTTAAATTTCAAGTTTATATACCTAGAAGAAACCCTTGTATTTATTAAAATGCTCAAATTTTTTTCTAAATTTTAATTAAAATTCCATGAGGACCCATAGATAAAGATAGACATTCAATACCCTAGGATACCACACTTAGGGTGGCGACCAATGTTACTAGGTGACAATTTTATAGAACAATAGGTTGGTGGAAGAAAAACAAACTCAACAGTATTTATTAAATAAAAATAAACAGATATTATGGAAAATATTTATAAAAGCAGTAGATTTTAAACTCAAAAGAGTGGAACAGCCTTCTTGAGATACTTACATTTTTTTCAATTAAATGTAGATTTAGAATTAATTCAAATTTTATATTATAATAAAATGTTATGTAATATTTCCCTTATTTTGACAAGGCAAAACAAGACACTTTATTACCATTTTAAGTAAAAAATGCCAATATTAAAATATGATTTTTTTATTTGCTTTACATATTTATTGTCGATGTTTTATTTAAACATTTGTTCAAATAAGATTATTTGTATAAACCTTTAAGAGATTTATATAGTGAAAACTTCATAGTCTAAACCTATTGACACTAGTGGTAGAAAATTTGAATTAACTTTCCTATGTTGCTACATATCTAATTTTAACTATGATACATTACCTCCCTGTAAAATTGAAGACAACTGTGTTACATTATCATTTCAGTAATTTAATAAATATAATGTATTATTCTAAAGGATAACAGGGAAGTCATATAAATTATACAGTTTTCCACAATGTTCTTGGTAGCTTTTATGACAACCCAGTTCTGTCAAATAGTTCAGTGATATTGTTTTTGGGTTACTACTAAAGTTAAGTTATTAATGTTACTTTTAGTCAACTGATAACATCAATTTGGTCACATGAAATATTGTTGAAGACTATATAAATTTGCTTCTTTAATTAACATATTTCAACAACAAATGCAGTTAGACACCCAATTATTGTCACAATATTTATGCAATATAATAAAACTTCAATAAAATCTATTTTTATTTTAATTTGCATAAATTGTTGGTTTTCATGACATATTTATGTTTTGATAGCAAATTTTCTGACATAGTAACATATACCTCCAACATTTCTATGATCTCATAGAAATTTTAGATGAGTTAAAAACAGTATGCTGCCGTGTTAATTCAAATGGTCGTAGCTAAAATTTTTCTTGAAATAAAGATATGACCACTACGCATAACAACAATGAATTTTTTTGTCCATCTCTATAACTTTTATGGATGTATCTTCTATAAAACCCGAGATTTAAAGCTTAGAAATTTGGGCGCAAGTGATTTTTGCTGAAAAATCGATTTTTTCATGTTCAAGTATTAACATAGCAGTATGAGCACATGTTGTTATTTACCTCGTAAGTTTATTAAACATATATTGACATAGTGTATCAGGAATAAGCAGGAAGTAAACTAGGTAAATAAAGGTGATATAACTGGTGTAATTTACACTGGTGGACACTGCATCAACAGCGAACGAAAGAACCTAAACTACCATCTGAAATAACCAACAAATATGTACACTGTCAAACAAAAATATTTTTGACAGAAATTAAATCTTAATATCTAAATCAAATCAAATAAAAAATGCATTATTGTCAAAGGCAGAATCTTGTTGACAAAGCTGTAGAAATATAAAATACCAGTTGGACAACATTTGTTAAAATAAAAGACAAGGTAACAATAACAATTTAATACATAAAGTTACAATGAGTTATTAAAGAACTCTGCAAAATTATAATAAGTTTTCTCAGCTACTCTCCAAAAGGCCTTATCATTTTCAGTCTGTTTTAATTCTAATGGTAGATGATTGAAAATATGTTCCCTATTATATACTAAGGACTTCAATAGGTTGATATTGGCAATGGTATAAGTTAATTTGGTAATTTGTTCTATAATATACGTAGGTATATCATTCAAGGGCAGCTCCAAGACAATTTTTTTTTTTGGGGGGCATTGCCTTTAGATATTTCCTTTTTAGCATATCTTTTTGAATAAAAGGCTCATAAATTATTTCTAATATAAATTGTAGACATTTTTCTGTAGCACTTAAGAATAATCATGTGTTTTTTAAGAAATTTAACTTCATTGACATTGACACAATGAGAGAAATTATTTTTGACTTACCCAGTGAAGAAAGTTCTGTTGAAATAAATGCACCCTTTTTAAAAAACTGTTTTGCAAACATAACGTTGCCATTGCTTAATATCATTAACACCTCCTTAGAAATGAATATAGTTCCTACAGCCTTGAAAATTTCAGTTACTATACCAATCCCTAAAGTCTCAAATTCAAATAGAGCAGCAGATTTAAGACCAATTAATATGCTAAGTACAATAGAGAAAGTATTAGCTGTGGTTAATAAATTATTTAGATAGCAGAAAACAGAAGCTAAAGTTTAACAACATTACATCAGATGAAATCCAAAATGAACAAGGTGTCCTGCAAGGAAGTGTGTTAGGACCATTATTGATCCTCTTGTACATTGATGATATCGCTCGTGTCGCAAGAAACTGTTACATTATCTTATTTGTGGATGACACTTTGATCTATTTTGCTTAAGACAAGTTACATGAAATTATTGAAAATATAAATAACACACCAAAAGAAATATTTCAGTGGTGCTGTTTTAATTCTTTAAAAATGATTAACAATAAAACTCAGTTCATGATTATAGGAAATGACAAAAACTATCAAGAATATAATATTAGTAACCTAAAAGTAAATATAGATAATAGTAATATTGAAGTTGTTAAAAAATTTAAATATCTGGGTGTCATAGTTAACTATATGTTACTATTTAAAGAACAAGCTAATTATGTTATTAAAACAATATCATTTATTTATATAGATGCTCAAAACATCTTAACCAGTGGTCTTTAAAGCTTCTTTATAATAGTTTAATTCTGCCCCATTTTACATATTGTGCCACAATTTTATATTTGCTAAACCAAAATGAAATAAAACAGATTACACAAACTTCAAAACAGGGCAATGAGGCTAATACTGTCTTGTAATAAAAGAACTTTTTTATTCATAGTTAGACACTAATGTATTTGTTTTTTTTTTCTATTCATATTTAGATACTATAAATAATGTATAAACTATACTTATTGTTGTAAAAACTGTACTATTTTTGTATTAGCAAAGCTAAATAAAAAAAAAGAATTTAATAATTAATCATAAAAAAATTCTTCTCGGGGGGGAGGGGGCGCATGGCCCTTCCCCTGGAGCCGCCCTTGATATCACTAGCAATTTTTAAACACAAGCAAACATACCTCAAAAAAGTACAAATTCATTATATTGAAGATTTTATGCTGTAAAAATAAAGGTCCGCATGAGGTTTCTGTAGAAACTTTACATAAATAACATACAGCTCTTTTTTGGAGAACAAATACCTTATTAACTATGGAACTCTGGGCCCATGCTCCTTTATAACCACAAAGATAAAAATGGGTACGTATACATTATTTTGAATTTTTTATATTCTAACTAAACAAATTTCGTGTTTTAACCACCTGTTTTAATATAGATCTGAAATTATTTTATAGTTAAAGATACTTTCTAACACAAAATTAGTAGGTAATGACTTTGTTTTTCACTGTTTAAAATAGAAATGTACTTACATAGACTGAAATCAATTTTTCCTTCATAAAATGTCTGGTATCCAGGGAAAATAAACAAGCAGAACAAACAAGATTTGTATTACCGGCTAACACAGGAAAATCACTACTTATTTTGTCGAATGTTTCCCATTTGTTGACTTTAATGATATCATCAAGAGATCCACACAATGTGCAATTATATGTACCATTTTTGGCTGTAGACGAGATATTTTTATCAAGTTTTACTAATAAATGTATTTTGTGATAACACATGGGACACACCTTCAATGGTTTTATATCATTTAGCTAAAAATTATAATAAGTTAATACATACATTCAATGAATGCATAAATAAGAGTTGATTACCTGGTCTTGATCGATGGCAGAATCATTTAAAAACAGTTTTATATCGGGAATTACAGTTTTCGCAGATTTGGTAATTATTTTTGTGTTGGAACAAAAAAAACAGACTCCTTTAGATAGCTCCATTTCACCTTAAATATCTATATATACAAAAATCTAGTAGAAATTTTTAATAATTTTTACCGCTAAACATGTCATCCATCTTTGACATCAAACACACAAACCACAGCTTATTTATCACAAACATCAACCATCAACATCAAAAAATTAAAATGGAAGCCACGCCACAGAACACATGGAAGCGTTGCAGAGTTGCCAATTTTCCCCACTCACGTGTAGCGAGTAAAGGCGAGTTCGGATAGTCAGGGACTGGAGCGGGACAAAAGTGGAGTTTTTTAGAGTGTTTTTAAATGACATTTAAGCGTATTAAACTGTCACTAATCGGACTAAACCTTTCATTGCGTTTGGTCTGCCAAGTTCCTTTAACACTTTTAACTCCAAACGACCCTTTTAGCGTTCGGTTTAGTCCGATTAGTGACAGTTTAACAAGCTTAAATGTCATTTAAAAGCACCCTAAAATTTGTCCCGCTCCAGCACCTGACTATCCGAACTTGCCTTTTGAATACATATACATATGCCGCGTTTGAGAATCCACATCGGATGCATCTGAGATGTTGTGAATTTTTTATCACGTGATAGAGAATTAGATCTGAATGTAGATGTAATAAACAAACGCTCTAGACTTTATTTGGTCACGTGATAAAATGTCAATGACAAGTTAGAAGTTTATACTTATTAAATTTGACTTTTGAGATTACAAATCAACCTAAATTTGAAATATTAACAAAAATTAAACAAACTAATCACTTTTATATTCATGCTAGCATAAACAAAGGATAAATTGACAAAAAAGGCTTCACAGAACACTTACTTTCTGGCATGGAACGAACATCTGATTCACATCTCATTTCAAATCGAGATGTAAAAAATGTAATCTGAACAGGTACATCTGGGATAAACAAACGCAGATGTAGATGTAGTAGATGTGTCCGATGTGGATAAAAAAACGCTCGAGATGTAAAAAATGCATCCGATGTGGAATCTCAAACGCGGCAATAGTCAGGAAGGAGGAATCATAAACGACCTTGGAATCGCGATTGTCAAACTAGACAAATATGACGAAAAGTGTTTCCGGTCTACCAGTGACGTACTGTCATGAAGGGGCGTAGAAAAGAAAATAAATTCTTATTTGCATATTATCTAAATTTACAGATTTCTCTCATTTTAACGAATAGCTATTTTCTTGCGAGAAGTTTGCATTTTTTTTAATTAATCATCATTATGTGAATTAATATTACTTTAAAATTGCATGTTGGGTGGGATAAATATAGGAAAATATTTTCGGTATAAATTATAGAGGGATTCCATTTGAAAAATCAAAGTAATAATGTATTAATAAAAGAAATTTTGACTTTATTTACGTCTTTATTATGACAATATTTTTAAAAACAGTATGTCGTGTTTATTAAGGTTTAAAAATTAAATATGTTTTGTAGATGCGTTAAAAAAATAGTACGTTTGTTCAACGAGAGTGGATATGATGGCCATATCGCACGAAGATGAAATTTGAGCACAACGCCGTAGGCATGTATTTGTGTTTGTAATTATATTATGCAAGCCTGAGTACATAAAAAACTTCCTAATATCGAAGAGAAGATCTGATCATTTTATTACATAATATTATTAGTAATATTTTTTGCAGGACTTAAATTTTGCATAAGTTGGTATAACACCTTTGCATGAAAGGATCCTATAAAGTAATAATGATTCTGTGAGTGCAAAATAGATTATTTTTAAATGTACATTCAAATTTGATCGCAGGAATTTAAATTTTGGTAAAAGACATCGTATTATTTATATGTTTAGTCCAGTTAAGATGAGAGTCAATTTGTACTCCAAGGTATTTGATATAATTTGTAATACTTATATAAAACTGCTGAACGTTACCTTTAATTATGTTTCTATAGGAAGAGGGCATATTTTTATAACTGCATATTGGAACAACATAAGTTTTATCAAAGGTTTGTAAGTTTTTATAATTGGACCATTCGACAATTTTTATAAGATCTGTTTCCATTAATAATTTTAATCAATTTCAGTTCTCTGCATTTTACAGGATAGCTGTGTCGTCTTAAAAATGTACAATAGTTCTATCTGTATATAAACGACAAATTATTTAAAATAAAATTAAACAACATAGGAACTAAGACATTGCCATTTAATCCATCAAAAGATTCAAAAAATCTTTTATAACCTTTTGACTCTCTCCGCCTTTAAATTCCTATGCTCTTTAGTGAACCCAAGAGAACCATCAACAGCCTAATAACACTTTGATAAAGTACTGGGATGTGGGAGACACATATGTATATGTATAAGCCTTCATACTGTAGAAGCTTAAAGTTAGTGCAAAAGCTCTTAATTCAGGCTAGTATTTTATTCTGGAATGATCTTTAATTGCTCTCTTCCTTAGATCCACTTGCAAGAGTACCCTAAAAAATTAACTAATTTGATCTAAAATAACATATATAAATAAAATGTTTCCTCATCATTAAAAACATTTATGAAAATTAATGTAATTAATTCTTACATCTTATATGCTCTAAGAGAAAGTCTGAAAGGATCTTCCCTATCACCATATAACTCTTCGAGGATGATTATTGGTCTCTTCTAATTCGTTTAGTAATGAGATATTTAAAAAATTTCTATTTCTCATCATACCTATAGGTCACGATCAATTTATGAAACAAAACGAAAACACTTTGGAATACTAAAACGTGCATCCAGTTAGACCTTTAGCAAGCTTTTTGGACCTTCGTATTTGAATGCGAAGAGCAAAGATCCACTCGGTTCCAAATGCGTACCCGCAATATAAATTCGAACGACCAAGAATAGCTACAACACGCATTTAAGCAAATGCGCATTCGCATTGATTAAAGCACCAGTCGAGGATAGGTGCCCAGGGTAGCTATTCACTAAGTCATGGGAGCGCTCCCATGGGAGTGTTCCCATATATTTTGCTCTCTTACTCTTAGGTGGGTATATCGTGCTTACTTCAAACTAACTATGCATGTACCTGGGCTAAAAGTGAGTAAGCACGATATACCCACCTAAGAGTAAGAGAGCAGAATATATGGGAACACTCCCATGGGAGCGCTCCCATGACTTAGTGCATAGCTATCCTGATGTTTAAAAAATGTACAAGAATCTGTAAAACGTATTAGATTTTCGATATAATTGTAATTACGTATAGGAAAAAAGAGTCTTTTTAACGAACAAAAACTGGCGCCCTGTGTATACCATCCGGGACACCGGCAACACCCGGCCATTGTAGCTCGTCTCTATTATAATTTTCTCTATGGCGCTGTCAAATGTAATTTGTCAAAGTTATTGACGTTCGTTGAATATAGATGGCGCTATCGAAAAAAAAAAATGTCGGCCATTTTCTGTCCAGACTTTTGTTAAAATTTTGAATGTGACTAAATAAATGGAGAGATGTTTATTTATGAAAAACACATTATAGAAACAAAAAAATGACATGGAAATCGTTACGTACCGATCAATCAAGCGGCTTTGCCGACCAGTCCCGTTTACGGTGTCGTTCCTAAATAAACTGTTTTAACGATTCGATAATACTGTAATAATTGGCATTATTATTAGTTGGAAATGTAAAGAATTTACCAAAAATTCTAAATAAGTATTTTAATGTTTTAAATTAAAAATTAAAAAGGAAGACACGTATAAAAATAAAACAATCAGGTTAATAATCTAGTCAATGGCTACACTGAGCGTGACATTTTAAAAATACAACCATCACGTAAATTTTGGTTTATATAGAGAGGAGACAGAAAGAAAGTCTCTCTTGAGTAAACTCTCAATCGAGTGCGGACGCTCAATCGGGTTCGGACTAAGGTCATCCAGACCTTTCGCCTAGGACGGAGGCTCTCGGTTTTTTTGGGACTCTGTAAGTCCCAAAACAATGTGATGTGTAGAGTAAAGTTTTGTGTACGAATTGTAAATTATGGGTAAATATTTTTAACTTAATTTTAAAGTGTTTTGTTCAATAATAATTGATTGATTTACATATAAATGCCAATTTTACATTTTCGTCCCGAATGATCATATTTATCTCATGCATATTTTTATATTATTATGTAGTTATAGTGCTTTATTCCCTAAATTGAATTTTATTCATTTTATACTTATTGTTAATACACATTTGTTAATGTTTTAATACTTATTATTAATCTCTCCTCCCTTTCCAAACTAGTAAAATACTCCGAGCATTTGAGAAGCCTCGGCGTTTCTATTCCTTTAGGACTAAAAGAGTCTAAAACTAGTTGCCAAGAACCGCTCGACTATGCTATTAAAGGATAATTTTTATTCTTTCAATATAATTTTTTTATTTTTTATTTGCCACTGGTGAATGGATGTTCCTTCTGGACTCCAGGACCCTTTGGCTGGTGACGGCGCTGCCCTAATCCCTTTAATAGTATGTTAACAACAGTAGCTTAAAACCCATCAGTAGTTACAAATGGTCTTTAGGCTAGTTGGTTACATTTAATGACAAATGGTAACTATAGTATCGTAGATTCTCAGTCATCATTCGTTTCCTGCAGATTTACACCAGATTACACCTTAATGAGGCATTTTAGCCACTAATTTTAAAAAAAAATTATTAACAAGACATTAAGAGCTTATATAATAAATAATTTTTAAAATATTCATTCCTTTTTATCACTCTCACAGCTCAACTCGAGAGGAGTCGATGCCGTAGTTTGATATAAAGATTTTGTAAACTTTAAAAATTCTTGTGTCGAACATAATGAGAACTTCTAGACTACAGAGTTCATCAGATAAAAAACGTAAAAAGAGAGGTGCAACCAAAGAATTGAATTGCAAAGATCTAGCACAGTTGCTACACTTAATAGACATTTGAGCTGGAAATCTTTATAACCGGATTCTGCATACAATATGCATTTTTTTTATGAAGCATGGAGAAGTTTTTGCAGGCAAACGCTCAGATATGAGTATCAACAACATAGTAAGTAATACTTTTGATATGAAGATGTTAGGTGGGTTGTCATACAATGAAGTGTCAATTAACAGAAAGCGACTTTATTATACAAGGGTGACTAATTTGGTCTGTGTGTCAAAATTGATTCGGCAAAAGACTGAGAGAATGCCAAAGAAAAACGAAGGAGCGCATTATTTTAGGCTGGAATTAAAGAAAAATTATAGGTTATGTATTTTTGAACACCAGACTAGCCATGATTTGCTTAATAAAGTTCAATGCTACAAATATAACAGCCAAGTTTGTTATTTTGTCGAGCGTTTTGCGAAGACTGCTTCAAATTTAACGCAAATGATGTCAACTGATATCTGGCAGTCTCCCTCTTTAATAACTTTGTTCGCCCTCACTACAAAAATGTAGCACTGGAGTATATTTTTTTTAATTATTAAAAATTACATATTTTAGGTATAAATAAAATCATTGTTGCCACAGATCCTTTTAAGAAATATGTGGCACTTATACTAATCCACGCCTTGAATATTAAACCAAGGGTAGGCACATTTCCAAGATTGTAGTGGTTTAGACATATCTACGAAGACCATCCAGGAGATCTTGTACATTGTATTGCTGAATCCTAACTTTTTGGAATTTCCACGCCATTCAGCTTACTTCGCTTGTACTTTAGGACACTGTTTAACAGTCTCCTTAATATGACTGATTATTGCTGCGACTACTTCGCAACTGCAGGCCTTGCCACCGAGATCCGGGGTGTGAATTTTATCGTCTACCATTGTTTTTCTTACTGCTTCTGCTATAAGGTCGGCGTGGGGATCTTTCTTCAAGTAATATAACAGTTTTACGCCAGCATTTATCATGGCTATGGGGTTGACGTACATTTCATCTGAAAAATATAATCAAGTTATATTGGGCATTTCAAAGAGCTGTCGGTCAACAGGGACCATAGCCCTCAGAAAGTCTAGATACCGCTTTGCGTATGCTGTCAATACAAAAAAAATGACCATATTCAAGCTTGTCGCCATGTTAGGTAAATTTATGTTTTGGCTACACTGATTTTTAGTTTGTGTGTTCTGTAATACGTGAACACCGATAATCTGCACTTTGTTATTAGTTATAAGTGAGTGAGACGCACAATTTTTAATTTCAAATTAAGAACAAAACTTTGACAAACCTATTTGATTTTCCTAGATCTGTTCAGACAGGACCGGTTTTATAAATTTTCTCGTTCTTGAAATGTTATTTTTACATGGTTATATATATTATTGGATAAGTGTTTTGTGTACATATTGCTATGAGAATTATAGAGAAATTCAGTGAGATTTATGTAATATAATTCAAATTATAAGTAAACCATCTGTTCCTGTTTGGCAATATGGAGAAAATACCTACTTCAATGTCAAATGTACTATTTAAAAGAATGTGATTGTTAACCGATCATTTATTTATATTATATTATGAAAATAAAAACTCGAATTTTTTAACTAGGGAAAGATATACTTACATCGGTAACAAGGTATTTTTAGAAAAACTGATAGATTACTCCTATTCCTATAGTTTATTTGAAAATGAATAATAGCAAAATTATATAAAAATATGGACCTTTGCCATAAAAACTGTGCTACCAAGCATTTTCAAATAAACTATAATGATAATTTGATTTAATAGAGCGAGTATAAGATCTCACCTGTTAGAGAAATTGCGGCATAGGGAAGAGATTATGAAGCAGGTAAGCAAAGTCGTTGCAAAAGATAAATATATAGAAGTTATTTTAAAAATTTGATAAAAAAACTAGTGGAACAACAAATGGAGTTGTCGCTATCGGAGATCCAATCAGCAGAAAGTAAAAAAAAAACTTTGGGAATGTTGGAAAAGGGCACAGCAATAGGCCCAAAACAATTCCTTGGTTTTTTAATAAATATAATCTTGTGAGATGCAAAAAATACTGCTAGAGTGGAGAAGCAGTATTGTTCTAATGTAGAAAACCCAGGGACATACAGCAGTGCACTAACCATAGGCGAATAGTCACTAAATTATACAAGAGTCCCATCTCGATTTTATTTTTAAATATTTTTGAGAATACCTATTATTATTTGTTACATTGGGTTTAATAAAACCACAGATTTCGAATGTATTAAAAGTTATTTAAAAAGTACCTCTATAAATATATAGAAAATGTGTTTTATTATGGTTTTATTAATCTTTTTTTGGGGTAGGTAAATATATTTTGAAAAATTGACAAACTTCTTTTGAATAAAAGACAAAATATTTCTGTTTTTATTAACTGAACAATATTTTATACAAACATAATATATACCCATTTAAAAGAAAATATTACATTTTACAAGTATGGCAAATTTATATGAAATAACTTACCCAATAAGAAAGAATTAAATTAAACAAATTAACAAACAATGGATATGAAAAATTGCTTTAACAATTTAATCCTTAGACAAACTTATTCTTACATATTGCTTTAATCAATTTATTTACTATAAAAGTATATTTCCTATCATTTATTACATGTAATAAAATAAAGCATAAAACATACAAACTATAATATGTACCTACTTAGAATAGAACTAATATTAATAGAAAAACCTGACCAATAGATGTAGAATAAATTGTCGCAACGGTTTTTATATCATTTCTTTGACAGTATATGTCCAAAAATGTACTAAATTTCTAAAATAATGCATTCAGATATTTCTCTAAATGAATAAATAAAACTTCAGCAAAAAAGGTTAAAAAAATCAAGTAATTTTATTGTGTTTACACTCATGTTGTTTAATAGCAATTAATAAATGGAGTGGTAATATTAATAATAATAATTTTGTTGCCAAAAATTTTTCATTCATAAATTCAAATAATAATTAGATATGTGACATTCATAATATTCATTAACTCGAGAGATAAAAAATCCCATTTTGTTTAATAACATTAGATGATGAGGTGATAATATTAATAACTTTATTGCCAACAATTTTCTTTCTATATAGCAATTCACAAATTACATTATGCGTCAGGTACCTAAATAAGTAAATGTAATATAAAATAATAACCCCACTAGAGAAACCTAAATTAAACAATTGTGAGACCATGTTTCTAGGATCAACCTTATCCAAAGCTTTAGAACTCTTAATTCTTGGTTATCCAAAACATGAACAGAAACATATTCAATTAAGCATAAGTTAATAACCATTCAATGATTAGTAATAAAACTTTGAAGATCTTGTGAAATATTATCCAGAAAATAGTAAATAAATGCAATTGCAAAGAGAAATAATAAAAAGTACACAATAGTATTGGTCTATAAATTGCCGTTTGATTGCATCATACTTTTAAATATTATATTGTCATATTATTATTTCTTTACACAATTCACTATATTTTCAAGTTTTTTTTTGTTAATGCAGAAAGAAAAATTTGTTTCATAAGTTATTTCACTGAATAAGTTCTAGTTTAACAATATACATTCAAAGACTTAAATTAATGTCACCAGTGTGTTACATAGAAAGAGTTTGTTGGTGATTATCTTTTTTCAGCAAATATTTCATTATGGCCGAAGTAACAATGAACTTGTAATATAACTAGTGAATGATGCAATACTCATTGCTCAACTTTTATAGGCTATATAAATCTAATGAGTTTATTACAAAGAATAATGGACCATAAAGATGCGATATAACAGAAAAGTTTTATTGTAAAATTACTTGGTTATAATTAAATTACAATGGCATAAATTAAGTTGTACATAAATAATTTAAATGAACACAAGTAAGCTATAAAGGGTTGTACATGGGCAAATAAAATAAGACAAAACCATATTCTGAAAAAAATCATCAGAAGAAAAAGTTGTATCAAGGTAGTAATAGTGGCATTTTCCGAATAAAAAAAAGTAAAAAAGAAGTAACGGTCGACATGTTTTTCTGACCATTGGTCTTCATCAGTACGGTGCAGCCAAGTTCAAAGGATCATGGAACTTGTGTTGGAAAAATTGTACAATAGCATAGGTCACAAACAAGGAGCCAATAACACATTTGCCGTTTCAGCTAGTATCCCTAAATTTTCTGGGCTTATACTAAAATCACAAAATGATTCAATGGTCTTCCTATGGCTATCAGTTATTCTTTCCTAAAATTTTTTAGTATGTTACAACAAAACATACAACTTATTTGATTTTGTAAATACACAAATATTTGTGAAAACTTACACATGAAATGTTATTCCTTCCTTGAATCTTCTACCGTTAGATGCATTGTTACATTCAGGTACAAAACAACAAGAGATTTTGAAAATCCTGTAAAAATTTAACACCAAACCACAAATGTTTTTTTATTAAAATAAAACACTAAACGACTAAACTAAAAAATAATGTTTTAAATAAAACCTTTACTAGAAGAACAAAATAAACAACACAACAGATAATAAAATCGATTATATACGTCGAACGCCGATCTTACGCTTATTACTAAACTTGCGCCGATTCTGTCTTGTTAGTAGTGCCAACTTAAAATTTATTGACATTTATTTATCATGGCGCCTATCATATGGGGGGTCAAAATGTTTTTACGATGCGGTATCTAGACCTTCTGAGGGCTATGACAGGGACATAAGGAGAGCAACGATAGCGTAATCTGTGTCTCAAATCTGACGTGTCCAACACATGACTTTCCTGTCTAGTTATTACAGGCTAAATCTGAAATAGATAGGTTTACTACTTAAACGACTCCGCACTTTTTATAGGGAATAATTTTCAAAGTATTAGAAATTAAAAATTTAAAAAATCGACTTCAAAAACGTGCAGATGCCATCACCATATCTTAACCAAATTTATATGGGGCCACCCCTTACTAACAAAAAAAGAATCATATAAATCGGACAAGGTGGTAAAGCATTATCGCTAAACATATATAAAAAATGAAGAGTTTGAGGATTTTTTCATGGACCCAATTATTAGATTTTAACCAAATTTATATGGGACCACCCCTGAAGTATCCCCTTTTTAACAAAAAAAGAATCATTGAAATCGGACACCGTGTTAAAGAATTATCGCTGAACATACATTAAAAAAAAATATTGCGACGAATTGAGATAGTACCTACCAATATTTCGATTTGAAAAAGGATTCGTCTTACCTTCAAATGCCAAATGTCTCAAACCGACCTCGTAAATGGCGCATTCGTCTCCAAAATTTTCCCCAGAAATAATACCATGTCCTCCAATTAACCCGCAGAATATACTGATAACGATGTTTCCATAGAGATTGGGTGTCAAGATGACATCGAAATTTTTTGGGTCCCTAACGATTTGCATGGCGCAATTGTCCACTATCATACTGGTAGTTTTTATTTCAGGGTAGTCTTTTCCGATGTCTATTATTGTTTGTAAGAAAAGCCCGTCAGTTAATTTCCTAAAAATATTCAAATCCTTTCTATACATTTATTTAGCACTGACTAGAGTAACAAATAGTTATTAAGTCACTTGAATGCAGAAGTAGCCTAAGTCACAAAATTTGATTTTACAGCATATCCCTTTTTATTTCTTTTACTAAATATGATAAAATTTCATTATCAGAAAAATGTATTTTTTGAAAATATCAACAGAAAGGGCAGGGTGTTGTGGATCTAGTCGCATGAGTTCAGTTGTTTAAGAGACAGTGTTTGAGAGAACGAGGTCAATGATTCTGTTATTGCAGTTAAGTATTGTATTATGTTGAGACATTAAACAAGATAATTTTCTACATGGATCTCTTATTATGCCTGCTCTAAAATCGGATATCTACTTAAATTGAAATCGCCAATAATTATAACATTTTGGTCGTAAACTAAGTGTATAGACATGAAAATATCGACAAACAGATCATATTCATTAGCAGATATGAGCGGAGGAAAGTAGATGCAGAAAACATAAACATTTGCTTTACCCAATTTCAGTTTTATAGATGTTACATCAATAGATATAAGAGGTTCAAAAATATGTTCGGACGAAAATTGTTTTTTTACAGCAATTAAGCTACCTCCACCTAGTGTTTGGATCAAATAGTTCCGAGTCCTTGATTGAGTCGTTTAGCCAGGTCTCAGTCAGCGTATTAATGTCATATTGAGAGGAAGTTGATGAGTTAAGATAAAGATTTCGAGTCTTCGTACGAGTGCCACGAACATTCCGATAGAAAAGAGAAAAGTTAGACATAGTACATTTACTTTCATTATTAATAGTTGAAACAGGATGTGCTCGATCTGGTTGCTACTTGGGAGACAGAATATTGGATCTAAATTCATTCAGAGTTTTTTATATACATGATGCTCATTATATTGTAAAACAGAATGATTTACGGGTATCGGATATTCGGCAGTTTTGTTAAAGTTATGGCAGTTAATGCAAATCGCTGGGTTTATGACATTCACTGAGTTTATGATTTTGAGCACATAATGGACAAATATAAACAGATGAATTACAGTGTTTTTCTAGGTGATGAAAACGACAACACTTGAAGCACCGCCTTAGCTCAATGGCGTCAAAAATATTACAATAATCGTAGCCAACAAATAGTTTTCCTAGTGACATAACCTTTTGATAACTATCTCCATTCAATGTAAGATCACTTTTACTATCAATGGACAGAAACTCTGTGAATAGCAAAAAACAATGGATATGATATAGACTAGTTCTGCGTACAAGTGACGATGTATAATTTTATGCTTACATAATATTTGCTTTATGAACAATGGTAACATGTTTTCTTTTATGCCTCCTCGCAAATCCATAAGCCCAATGTGCGAACCTGATCGTAGTGTCTCTGGTAATTATTTTTAAGCTTTCAACGATACCAGGTTTCGGCGTGTGTTCTAACATTGCATATTCGCCTTCAATATTTTGCCTGAATACGTAAACATCGATATTGTGCATCCTAAAATAGTAGTTTGTGCAACGAGAATGGATGTGGACACTCGAGTTGTACAGTATACTTTTTCTATGACCCACCAACGAAAATTTAAAAATAAAAAAATATTTCAGGTAATTAAGGGGGCGTCCATTAATTACGTGAGGTATTTTTGAGGATTTTTTGACCCCCTCTCCCCCCCTGGTGAGATTTCGTAAGATTTTTCTCAACTCCCTCCCCCCTCCCCTAATCTATCGTGAGATTTTTCAAAATTTGTGTTTTGGGTGTAAATGCGTTGGATTATTAAAAAAACAAACACAATGTGTTTTATTACTTTTACCGTTTTCTACTAGAAAAAAATACGTCAGATTTACAAAGACCCCCTCTCCCCCAAGTGAGATTTGGAAAGATTTAGCTTGATCCCCTCCCCCCCTTGAACACCTCACGTAATTAATGGACAAAATAAGTAATTTTTAAATAATTTATGACTTCTTTTAATAATTTTTAAAATAAAATAAACGAATAAAAAAGAAAACATAGTTCATTTCATTTCTCCCCATCTGAGAATCAAACTCCAGTCTTCCGTTTGGAAGGCAACCACAGGACCACCTATTCTTTTATTTTCGATTCTTTAATACTCGTAATTAAATTGACTTCATATAGTTTTATTTAAATTAACAAATTATTTATAATCATAGACGAAATAAAAACAGAAATTCTATTATTTATCGATTCTACACAAGAATAACCCATTTAATGTATGTTTAATCTCAATAACTAAAAAATATACTGACAGAATTGTCACTTATTTAAAATTTTAAAAATAATAGCAGTCGTTTGATCAAGAACGGTGATTGGCGGATTTCATTTTTTTGCAATATTCTCACTAGCTAGAATGGATATGAAATACATTCGTTCAGTTGAAGGCAATAACATACTTTTTCGTTTTGTAATCTGTGCCTAGAAAAGATAATATCCATGTGGGTGTAGAAAAAATACTTTTATACTTAGTTAGTAATCATAGGGGGAATTTTTGGATTAGTAGGCGAGTTCGGATAGTCAGGGGCTGGAGCGGGACAAATTTTAGGGTGCTTTTAAATGACATTTAAGCGTGTTAAACTGTCACTTATCGGACTAAACCTAAAAGGGTCGTTTGGAGTTAAAAGTGTTAAAGGAGTTACAGGAACTTGGCAGACCGAACGCAATGAGTGTAGGCTTCACACTGCCATAATATAACATGGATTGATATTTATTCTTCATATTTTTTTCTTTTTTACAAAACCTACTGTTGATTCTTCTACTATATTGATTACACTTTTTCTCAGGCGACAGTGTCCGACCCTAATGGTATCCTAAAGATCTGTCGTTTTTATTCCAATATTTTTCTAGTAAATTTGATCTATCTCAGTCCTGAATAGTTGATTATAAATATTCCTGATTACTCTTTTTGCATCTATAGAAAGGTTTTGAGCCTTCTTTAAGCCATAATAGGTCAAGTAATCGGCATTGTATTGCTTTGTGACGAAGTCACTAAAATTTCCATTAATTTATTCCCTAAATTAATTTCTAAAACTTATTTCCGTCTATGAACATTTGCGAGACCCCCTGTAACTAATATTTCCATAGAATTGCCGTTTTTAAACCTTTGCAAGAACCCTCGTAGTTTAAAACTTTTCATTATCACAATAAATTAAATCATGTCTTAAAATCTCAATTCTAGTAGGTTTATCAGTATGCCGATCAATTAACCTTTTTTTTTGCAAAACAACTAATAACATTTCTATCATTAATTATAGTACAAACCACATTTAATTTTACTGTTGCACATTTTTTTGTCTTACTAGTAAACTTGGTTGTTTTCTTTAGTAGGAAAGAATTTGTGCTAAGGGTGTTGCTGCCCACCGTTTTATTTTTTTTAAAGGAAATTATTATTTTTATTTTCTCATGAGTATAGTATAAGTCATAGTTAATTTTACCGTTATAGGACTTTTCTGTTGATACCGAGACCGTTTACTTTATCAACAACACATTTGTTCCGTCTATATATTTACCGTTGTTACATATACCGGGTGGTGTGATTTCACCCAGGTCGTTTTATTTATTTTCTTTTTTTGTACCTGGACTCCACTGAGTCTGCTGAGGGTGTACTCTAAGTCACCCTAGGGCCGCAGAGTAGACTGCGTTACCAAAACTGGCGCCTGAGCAACACTTGTTCGAAGAACAGCCTAGCGCCACCCCAACCCTTTTCTTTATTTTTAGGGGTGAAGAAAAGGGTGTTACAGCTTCTGTGATCCTTGTGGCCTGGCACTCAGACTAAGGTCACATAATTTTGACTGCTTAGATTTGCTTGGAATATTTATTAATTCTCTTGTAGGTTAATATTTATGATAGGCATAGTATTTCTAATAATCTTACTCACCGACTTTTGATATTTGGAACACTTAGTATATGCACTTTATATACATACATATCCAGATGACTGCGTAAAGTCACGTTGGAAGCTAAAGCAGGCAGTTCAGGAATATGACCCTAAAAAAAATTATAATACGTTGAAGCCAAATCAAAGAACTGGCCCTATTATTGATCGACATTTTAAGAACTAGATAAACATTTAAAGATAACACATTTTTTTGGCATATGATTGTAGTATTTGTAATAGTTTTTCCATTGCAGTTTCAGATTATTTGCACACAAAACTCGACTTGTTAAAGAATTTATTTATTCATACTTAAACTAACAATTGTATTTTGACTACCTTCTTTATATTTTCACCTAGTTTATTCCAGCAAAGTAATTGATACGGGATATCCAGAAGGTGACCTACCAAATGAAAACTTTTAATTATTCTAGAGATGATTTAAAGAAAATAAATCACCGGCGGATCCAGTGGGGAAGACGATGGAGTATTTGAATTCAGCAATTTGCCCTGCCCTTGGATTTTTTCTGGATCCGCCTCTGGTACCAATGTTTTCCAAATATCTTCAAAACGTAATGTAACGTTACACTGTGGATTGTTAGGAAATAAGTTAACCTTTTATTCATTTAATCGCTTTCATTGATTTGGGGAAGTTCTAATTATTATGACATATTCTTTGGAAGGCGAAATTATGTAGTGTCTATACTGTGTCTTAACAGAATTCATGAATTGGCATGCCCCAGTAAAGGGTCACCTGAACAAAATAGCCGTATATAATGGAGACCTTTTGTATCGATTCGGTCACAAGGAACAAGAAACATCTAAACACATACTGTGCAACTACGAGGCATTGAATGACAAAAGACAGGCACTTTTTGGATAACCACAGGTTGGTCCAAGAACCTATAGAATATACCCTGTTAGGAACAAGTGACAGAGTGCGGGTAATATGAAATATTATGAGTCAAATATTATGAAACCCACAAAGTGTATAAAGTACACACAACCAAACTTATATGGAATCACTGTGTATTTCTGAATAAACGTTTTGTAAGGAAAAAATTTGGTAACTAACTTTAAGATAAGGCCTTTTGTTTTTAACGAACATGATAATAAAGTAGAAACAACTGCTGAGATTTATTATCACGATTCTCATTGAACAAGGAATGTCCCAATGAGAGGTAGCAGAGGTAGTAAGCGATACCCAGGGTAATGTATTGAAAACATATGAAAGGTACTTGGAACTAGAACCTCTCAAGAACAGGTCCATACAAAGTAGTCAAAGAGTCACAACTGAACAACAGGACTGCTTTGTGTGCCAATTTACTTGACGAAATCCCAGTGTTTCTCATCTAGAGCTACAACGACAACTTCTGAAAGCTACAGATGTGAACGTTTCAATTGAAACTCTAAGAGAAAGACTTTGCGCACGAGGTTTGTACAGTAGGAAAGAGTTATGGGTCCCATCGTTATCTAGGCAAAATAAAATTGACCGGCTAAATTGGTTCCTCCAACACCAAAACTGGACAATTGAGAATTGGCAAAATGTTCTTTTTTTGGATGAGACCAGAATTGGCCTAAGATCAGATGACCATCGAATTCGGGTTCTCAGAGCTCCAGGAAGATGAGCTAGCTTCCACGCTGCCAGATATGTCCCAAGATATCAAAGAGGAACTGTAATGTTTTGGGCAGGTATTATGCTGGAAGCAAAAACTTCATTGTTATCACTTCAACAAATTTATGCTGTTTAATGAAAGGTTTGATTCAATAAAGATTACAAACAACATTCCGGATTAAATTTGAACCACTCTTGTACCTATATAAAAAAATCTTTAATAAATAGCGTGCTTACTTTAATGGCTACTCCATTTCGTCTAATGGAAGTTATAATTTCTTTAATAGCCTTCATATCGTTTATAATCTCAAAATCTACAGGGGCACAAGCTGCTTCAAATACTCTTCTAACATATTCCATCATTTGTGGACCTGAACCTACCCCTAAAAAACAAAAAAAAAGAAAATTAATTCCAACGCAACCAAGACGTAAAAAAATGAATAAATCACAGAGTCACATTTCACAATTTGTGTGACTATGAAGACTAGAGATATGTGTGACATATGGCTTTGTGATTTATTTATTTTTTTAGGCATTCCAAATAAAATATTTGCGTAGCCAATGTTATAGATAGTTATATAGATTGATCATTTTTTTTTCAAAATAAACTAATTATCTTTTTTTTTACTATATTTAAAGGCTCAAAATCGGTTATAAAACACATTTTTGCTAAACCGATTCTGATAAATGACTTGCGAGACAATATGGTCGCACGTAATGCAACCCGCTTTGAGCAATCTATATAAATATATATCGTTGACTCTATCAAAGCCACCAGGCCCGCAAGGTTGCCATTAATAGTAGTAACTTTCAGTGAACCACAAATTACGTCACACTAATATTGTGTATTGCCTCGCGTCCACTTATCAGAATCGGTCTAGCCCAAATGTATTTTAAAATCATAAGGAAAATGTTTATTTAGATAAAAGGATATCAGTTAGATATTCTGATAAATAATCTTAATGCACATTAGTTGTATGGTTAAAGTCCTTATATAGTTTTTAAATCTAATTTGAAATTGTTTAGATGTAAGTCTCTAAAACTAAGTGTGAACGTTAAAGCAAGATAGAGAAAAACAAGTTAGAAAGGCGGGAGAAAACTCTTAAGAGGAATAGCGTTGGGTTAAAAACAATGGAGGTAGGATGGAGAAAAAGAAACGAGGAAGTTGGAAAATATACAATTCTTTCAAAATCCAAAAATAGAAAAGAGAGGAAAAATAACTTCAAGCTGGTTACAAATTGGGATTCATTGATGTAAAATTTTTAATTTGAAAGATAAAAAATAATTATAAATGGTGTATAAAATCATTTAAACATGGTTAATAGTTGAAGACACAAATGGATATAACAAAAACATTCTAGAGGTATTTTAGTATAAAGTTAATTATTTGAATATTTAGTTCACCATAGAATAATAGAAATATAATAGAACATACTCATCCACTTATGTCTTCAGTTGGGAATTTACAAAGAAACTCCTAAATTCTCTCCTTATATCAATGTAATTATGTTAATACTTACCTGGTAACATTGTAACGATGTACCTTCCCCCACAAGAAGCTCGCGGAGGAGTACTTAGCATATAAGAAGGTAACTTGTGTTTTTCTCTAATTAGACCAGCAAATACATCGGCTGTTGTTGCTAAACTTCTTCTACTCGTCCCAAAACTTATTAAAGTTCGTTTTAACTTATTCATTTTAGCTTAATTTCTTTTTTAGAATTTTCAACATCAATGTGACATAAATAAAACCATCTGTAAAATAAGTAGAAAAAATATTTTGTCTGCCAACGTCATGATGGTCATTTAGATACCTACACCTTGTGATTAAAAATTAAAATATATTCATTATTATTCATTGATATATAAGTATTTTAATATAATGGTTTATGTTGATACATTAAAAATTTGAATCCGTCAAAATTCGTTAAAAAAAAGAAGAGACAATAATATAAGTAATATAACCTCTGTTGAAAAGCAAAGAAGGAGAAGAAGACGACGAAAAACAAGAAGAAGACCAAAAAAAGACGTAGAAGAACAAGAAAATGAAGAAATTAAATAATTTTGAAAAGTTTACCGTTAAATTAGGACAACGGACAATTTTAACAGGTTTACTTTGGTTTGGTAGAAACAGAATAGTTTAACTTGAACGAAAGAGAGAATACAAAAGGATTTTAGAGAGCAAAAGAGAGTGCTAATGAACGTACCCAAGGCAGGAGTAGGTAACACCAATGATGGGAACACCACATCACGAAGATTCTTTGCAGATCCAGATACGTCTTCATGAAATAGTGGCATTAATATGGTAGAAGTAATTTCAAACGGATTCACCATAAATGCTGAAAAGTTTACTATACCATAGCAATGTTGCATACTGAATGGCATCCTATTTCACCTGCAATTCACAAAGTATTGATCCATTAAGCCTAAGAAATAAGTAACGCAATTTTACCCATTGGTCAATTAACAGAGGAGGCGGCTGAAGACAGTAATAAAAATTTCAGATAATACAGAATTGATTTTTCAAGAAAAATTTCTAGAGAAGACTACAACAGAGACATTATGAACAATTTCTTGATTGTTCAACATCAACGGATGGAAATATGAGCTACAAAAGTATTGAGGAAAACTAAAGCGAAGAAGAATTAAAAAAAAACTTGTTTTTGCAGTCCATGTACTTTTTTTATTATTATTAAAGCTATATTTTGTATATATAAAAGTTTCATTGCGTTTAGCTTTAGACATACCTGGTTTAATAATAATTCTTTGGTGACTGAGTTACACAAACATAATTCGTAATAATAACTATACTCAATGTAGAAAAATTTCAAGGATTTACTGTTGTTAATTCTCGACGCTTATACACTTGCCAATTGTTGAATATTTGAAAAACAATTGATTATAAACCGCACTATACAATGCAGCAATGCAATAATAAATTTTATTGGAATTTTAAGTTACCTAATTCCTTTTTGTTAAGGTTATTGTTCATTTAAGGTTTATTCTAAAGATTCTATTATTATTAATCTTATTATTATTATTATATATCAGATGATAAAGTTGAATTGATGATGTTAAATTGTGGAAGCTTCTCGTAGGATGTTTTTGCCTTTTTAGGGATGTTTCTATGGTCAAATCACCCTAGGAACCTGCGGATGGTATTTTACGTGCAAAATTCTAAAAAAATGGGCCTTGTACCTATTTCAAATTCTTCATTTTACCTTATTTTGACTAGACTAAATAATCGCTGCTAAATATTTATATTTATGGTAGATTAAGAAGATAGGATACAATATTTTTGGATATACCTACCTATAAAAAATAAAACGTATATTTTGGCATTTATGAATTTATTTTATTTAGAAAAATGCACATCAATAGTGCCGTTCCATTCTTACTCACACATTCACAAAATCGAATGGACAAGTGAAAAAAATCATAACATAGCAAGGCATTTTATAGTAAATTATTATAAATACAAAATATTTTGCTTTTTTTTTTTCATGTTTCGTTAACAATTTTTCATCAACATGTCATTTTTACTTATCTAAGGATCGTTTAAAAAACATACAGTGTGAATCACATTTCTAAAATTTGCTAATTAATAAATAATATCTGTTAAATGTTCTTTGACCCTGTTGTCACCAATTAGGGTATAAAACGTATCGAGGCTAATATTTTTATGATATTTTTAGACTGTCAAAAGAAAATATTTTTATTAATAAATCCTTTTTATAAAGTTATTGTAGCAGCAGAGTTCCATACATCTTTGAGAAAGTGGCAACTTTTACGAGAAGTTCCAAAAGTAAAAAAAAAGGCTAGCACGAATCTATAAGTATTCCAATTTCTCTATTCATCCAAATTCCAAATATTTAAGATGAAGGTATGATGTTGTTATTTTTGACACCGTACAGTGAACTTTGATGTTATCCAAACTGCTATCCTAAATCATTTTAAAAAAATTTAAGAAAAATTGATTTTATATCATTTCTTTGTTACCCTGTAACTCGGAGAAGACATATTTCTGGACAAATGCTTACATAAGGTTGTTTGCTTATTTCACCTTCCAGAACACGTCCTTAAAATATTGTTCTTCCCTCCCGTATACTTATTAATATGTACATCATGTATGCAAAACATAATTATCAAAAGTTAAAATAGCACTCTGATTTTCATGAATACCCGATAAGATTAGCATGTCTTATTCGACTGCCGAAATAATATACCTCAATCTTTGAAAAAACATTTTTAGTAATTAAATGTTTTTATGACATATCTGAATTTTAATAAAAAAATAAACAATTTTTTATTATTATTTGTGAATGTTCTGGTTAATCTGTCCTATATAATTATTGTATGATCTAAATTAATTATTAATTTACTATTACATATAACTAATATTATTTATGTAGATATGACATTAGTAGGTGAGATTAGCCAGTTCTGCACCAAGGTCAGAGGTACAGAGAGAGGTAATTGGGTAATTAGTAATTATGATAAGTACCCACCCCCACACTTCGCGCAATTAGCAAGTACCTCCCAATTACTATCATGTACTGTAATAAGTGTAATTGCATAGTGTAATTGCGTAGTGTAGTGGCACCTCTCATTACCCCATATACATAGGAGTATAAGTACCTCTCAGAGTATTTACTATGTAGGTATATCATGCAGTGTGTAACGAGCATGGTAAGTACCCATACTCATCGAAGTGTAAGTACCTCTTAGATAGTAATTACTATGTATATCATGTAATGAGTTTAGTCTAAATACATCTCAGTGATTACTATTGTGGCATAGGAAAAATAAGTCCATGTCTAAACATATCCTTGACTCTCAACCTCCATAGCTAGAGTGAAGCGCTAGCCTTCAGCAGACACGGGCCTCGCACCGTAGACTCACAAAGGAATAGGAGATGTAAATGCTTGTGATACCAATCAGATGTTATCGCATATGAGGAGTCTTGACCACAGAGAGAAAACCTGCACAATATTTAATTCAGAGTGCGTTTAAGTGCAGAATCGCAAGTTACAGAGTCAAAAGTGATGAAAAACATATAGATTATATAACATTTTTTTGATGTGATAAAATTTAGATGGTTATTATTTGGAACTTCTAAATACGCTTAAAGCTTACGATTTTAAACTGATTTAATTTGGACATGGGTGCTATTATATACCCTCTCTAAAAATTCCCACCTCTCCTATGCTATTCATAATATACAAGTCTGAAGATGCGCGAAAGATTCTACCCCTTCCACCAATGTTTTCGTGGCCCGTGTCTGCTGAAGACTAGCGCTTCAATCTAGCTATGTCGGTTGAGATTCAAGGATGTGTTTAGATATGGACTTATTTTCCCTATGCCACAATAGTCATCACTGAGATGTATTTAGACTAAACTCATTATAGAAAGGTAGTAATTACTATCTAAGAGATACTTACACTTCGATGAGTATGGGTACTTACCATGCTCGTTACACACTGCATGATATACATAGTAAATACTCTCTGAAAGGTACTTACACATCTATGTATATGGAATAATGAGGGGTGGCATTACACTACGCAATTATACTATGCAATTACACTATGCAATTACACTTATTACAGTACATGATAGAAATTGGGAGATACTTGCTAATTGCGCGAAGGGTGGGTGTGGGTTCTTAAGATAATTACTAATTACCTAATTACCTCTCTCTGTGCCTCTGACCTTGGTCCAGAACTGGCTAATCTCATCTACTGACATTTACATTTGCCATACACTTTTAAACCTTATCGAAATAATTAAAATATTATTCCTTAATTATTCTAGAGGCCACATTTATTTGTTTAATCCGTTAGTCGAATATTTTAATAAACATCTTGCAATTGGTATTTACATCAATTTTTAATACCTGATTCAATACAAAATACTTGTATATTGTTCAACATCGAGCCGTCAATGCAAGGGCGGATCCAAGATGAATTTTCGGGAGGGGGGAGAAGGGGGGCAAAAGAAATTAAATAATAAACACAAATAACGACGTTACTGCTTCTTCCTGCGTTCTAGCCTTTTTGAATTCATTGCTGTCGAAGCGATAGACCAATATCAGTTAATCTCAACGAGGTAAATAATTGGATTACGACAAGGAGTTTAGTACTATATCCATGTGGCGTACTATCTTTAAGAGGCATTGAAATGAAGGTAGATACTCCTTTATGATTGAATTGTTTAATAAAAATGCTTATTATAATATTTGAGTGTCTTCAAAATTTTCTTATTTTATTTTTGGATTAGTGGATTGAAAATAATAATAATAATAATTGAAAGTTTAAAAATGTCTATTATGTTTTCTTTATATTCCCTAGAAATTAATACAGAAAATTTATTTAACTAATTTGGTTAATTCAAAATATATTTTTTAATATTTAAAAATATTCAAAAACAAATAATTAGAATTATGATTCACTCCGTATAAGCCGTTCCAAATTTTATAAAACAAATAACATAACATTTTATCAATTTATTTACCTATTTAAATAACAAAATAAATAAAAGGCTTAAAGTTTAATTTGGAACATCTAGTATACAAGGTGTTCATTAAATAATTGTTTCTTTTAAAAATAAATTAATAATATTTATCTAGTTAATAGTTTAAGAAACATTAGGCAGGACACATTTTAAAACCGTCAAACAACAAAACATCTCACTTTTTATGAACACCCTGTAATTTGATCAACGCAGGAAATTTAAATAGTATAGAATTTTTTATATATTAGCTATTTACAACGTATCAAAGTTTAGCTATGTTCAAATATTATAAATACTTATACTTTTTTTTGAAATGTTCAATAGACTCATTTAGGTATTAACAGCATGGGAAACATTTTTTTATAATAATAGGACTTCGCTGTAGTACCACGCAATTTAAAATGGTGCATAAATAGATCGCAGAATTGCCAACGTAAAATTTCATTGACTTATGTTAAAAGAGTACAAAAATTATACACCAAATTTACTGAGTAATGTAATTTAAAGTTAAGATACGATTAATAACAAGAATTTTTTGAAAAGTGCGAAGCATTGGGACTGTTATAAGCAGTGGCGGCTCGTGGGGGGGGGGGGGGGGGGGGTCACAGTGACAGAATATAAGTCACTAGATGATACTAGTATTGGAGCAGCATTTGCAACACTCAAGAATAAATTTCACTTCAACCTCCATCACTTTCACTACCAGGGCCGCCGAGAGCCAAATCGGGCCCCAGGACAATTCTCCAGATCTAAAAAAAGGTCTTCAAGCAAGAAATTTCTTCTCCTACTCTATTTGAATTTCTCTAAAAAATTTCGGTCTTCAAGCAAAAATTCTGTTAAAAAAAAGTCTTCAACCAAGAACTTCCCCCTCTTTTATCAAGCTTCTAAAAGTAACAAAAAAATTCTCACCACCGCTGCCGGGCCCCCATTTGAGCCCGGGCCACGGGAATTTGTCTCGGCTGCCCCCCCCTCCTCTAGTCGGCCCTGTTCACTACTGTTTCTGTTTCTCGCTCTTTAATATAAATCCCTTCAGTACCGCTTAAAAAAAGTTATAATACAAAGAAAAGCTTAATACTTTCGGACTCTCTTATAGTCTATTTTTATGAATGAGAGAGTAATAAAACAGC